ACTGCATGGGGGTCGTGAAAGTTTTGGTTGATTAGACTTTTTTTATATTCCCCCCTGCAATTTTTTCCACTAATTGAAATATATTTAAGTCCACATTAACATGAATTCAACAGACTGCAGTAAACAGATAAATGGAGGCAGAGGATGTCTTTCATTCATCAATGCACACATTCAGCGACACACAGGAGCTCTTTCAAGCTGGGCACCGTTTCATTCACAACACCTGTCCCATCAACCAGGAATCAGAATCAGAAATACTTAATAACCCTAGGGTGAAATTACTTTAGTTACATTACTCCATATGTAATAGAGTGAATATAGGACCAGTTTGATATAACAAAATTTCATACAATATATATAATTAGGGTACCCCCCCACTCTACTCGCCATCAGTTTGGAGGTCCTTGGCATGGAAAACGTTGAAGACCCCTAGTTTAGTAGCCTCGTGAGACCATCCTGATCTCGCAAGCTTTCAAAGTTTCACTCGCAGATCAGTCTGGAGACTCTCCGTTAAAGAAAATTTGGAGCCGTTCACCAAACGAACGTCCAATCAGCGTTGGCTTTGAGGCGGGTTGAGGTGTGACGCAACGAGAAGCGCGACAGTTCAGTCTAAAGAACATTGTGGCTTCAGCCGATGAAACTAGCGTTAGCGTGGCTATCGAGCAAGTTTTATCGGAATTACAGAGTATTTCTTCACTGAAAGAAGAGCAAAACACTGTTCTGGAGGATTTTCTCAGAGGAAAAGATGTTTTGCTCTTCTTCAGACTGGTTTCGGCAAGAGTTTGATCTATCAATTGGCTCCTCTTCGTCGTCGCTCTGTTAGTACGTCATATGCTTCGTTGATCTGATTGGTTTATTTGGCCCGTCTATCACCAACATAGGCCAATCAGCTGACCAGTATTTTCGCCCCTTCCCAAAATTACTTCTACGGAAGGTTTCCAGATGGATATGAGGAGCAAATCCATCTGGCGGAGTCAGGTTACTAGTTTAGGGCATAGAGCTTGGAATCCTGCGGTTCTGGGTTCGAGCCCCACTCCCACAGACTACCACTCTAGGTCTCAGAGCACATTCCTTAACCCCACACTGCTCCCTGGGTGCCGCACAATGGCAGCCCACTGCTCCCCAAGGGGATGGGTTAAATGCAGATGTAAATTTCTCCAATGTGAGATCAATAAAGTTCAATTATTATTATTATCTGTCTGAATGGAGGTTTAACTGAGTTCACTATAAGGTTCCCTATTTAGTCCCCGCTCTACCTAGTGATTGAGGGATTTAGGGGTTAGGGCGGACGTTTGGACAGACAGTCTCAGATAGAAACTGGAGGTCTTTGTAGCATAGCTCTCTCAGAGGAGGCATCTCCTAGCAGCATCTGTTCAAACACCAGCTTCTTCAGCCAACTCTCTCCTTTTCCTTCATTTGGTCCTCCTCATCTTCACAATGTCTCTTGATTTCCACTTTTTCATTCATTTCAGCTCACTCAGGTTCAAACTGAAAAGATGTAACGCCATTTGCCAGAATAGTTTTCAGCAAAAACTTTAAAACTAAATAGCGTATTGTGTTTTTTCTGATTTACTGTGATTACAGATCTTAAGATAAATCAAGAGACCCCCCCAATACCCCTATAAAAATATGTCTCCTATTTGAAAATGATGTGATTAAAGGATAATCTGACCAGAAGTGGCTACCAAAGAAAAGCATTAAACTACCTGTAATAAGCTGCCTGACATTTGGGAAATAAATGTCATTTCATAATCATCATTGGGCCCAAAGAAAAGCCAGAGCATAATAATCCCTCCTTTTTCACATAAAAGGAGTAGTTTGACACAAACAAATGTCTTCAGCACTAATAGAGGGTTTATCTCAGCTTCAGCTGGAGATCAGTAAAAACAGCCATCCACACATGGAATGATATGGATTGGTCATTTAGGTAATGCATTTTACCAGGGATTCTAAGTTATGGGTTTTGACATGCATTTCCTCCCTGGAGGATTCTTCCCTCCTTTCCTTCTGTTCATATAAAAGGGGATGGACGGTAGTACAAGCTGTGGGGGTGGACAACATGTGCCTTCCTTTGTCCCCTGAGTCGGCCAGAGTAGGCAAATCCACCCGAAGACGGACCAGAGAGAAAGGAAATGAGAGCCAAGTTATGTTTGGTGCCAGCAGTGGCCGAAATACGCCACAAATGCTCTCATCATGAGACCGCTACATGATTCGCAGCATAACTCTGTATCACATGAAGTGTGTGAAGAAGTGAAACTCAAGGAGCTGCCACACATGATCATGTTTCTCCCACGATAAAAGTTTAGGAAGAGTTCAATTAACAATTCTATCTGCATTTTTGAAAAATGTATATATGCATTTTATTAAAGTTATCAAGAGAAGGAGACACCGTTTGGAGGGGGTGTTTTTTAAAAAGTATTACTAGCAATGTTTTATTATTTTACACAGCAAATGGGTAAAATAATAAAACATGGGAGGTGGTGGTTTTAAAATTTAATGGAGAAGCTTTTGAAGTCAGGTTTCACTTTATATTTCTCCAAGCATCATACATATATTTTTTTGTAAATTTATCTCCATTAGCAGATCAAGCCCATCCAGCTGACCAATGCTTTGACTTGAGGTTAAAATATGTGCTTAAAGTAAAGATACACCAGTGTCATTTTTTTATAACCCTGTGCTGCAAGCTGGATTGTCACAAGATCTGAGTTTTCAGTCTCACAACAAATCCATCTTGAAAGACTTCCACTAATACGTCCGTCTTGTAATAACAAGCGAGTCGGACCAGTGACATGCCAGCAGGTTAATTTGGGGCGGGACGTGTAAGAATGACCTCTACTGGAGGACTCACCTGTCAATACCACAATTGACCCGGTTTTAGCTAAAGTAGCAACAATTTCTTGTTTAGAAAAGGGGCAAATAGAAGCACTTTGCTCATTTTTAGATGGGAAAGATGTCTGTGCTTTTCCTCTTACAGGATTTGAAAAAAGTTAGATTCATCAGCTTACGAAACGCAACGATTCAATGCTACAATTGGCTGAAAGCGCATTATCACCCAATCAACTCGAAGTATTGTACTAAGTATTGTTCAGTCTTTCACAGGCAGACTGAACAGCACCCATCCCAGATTGATAACGTAGAACTCAACTCAGTTCTACACATATTAATCTTGCTACTGTCGGGGTTGGTTTTTAAAGGCAAATGCCTTAAAAAAAAAGCTTTTATTTTGACATCAGTCTAACTGATCCCCGATATGTGCTTCTTATTATTTTGGCCCCATTTTTTGAGCCAGTATTGGTTAGGGATGCACGATATAATCGGCCTCCTATCGGTATCGGCCTGTATCGGCCTCAAAACTGAATATCGAACATCTGCCACCCCACCGATATTTAACCCGATATTTGATCAGCTTCTGATTTTCTAAAGTCTAAAAAAAATAAATAAAAAATACTACTACTTTTTCCTCAAAAACTTCTTTTTTACAGACTTAAAAACTTCTAAAGACGAGGGAAAAAATATTGATACGTTAAAATATCACAATAGCTTCATATGCTGATATATTGCCATTTAAAAACACCATATCAATCTCTTTTACTAATGAAATATTGCTATATGTCATCGAAATTTTGACATATTTTTATATGTTAATATATTGACGCGGTATCGATCTATTTTACTAACAAAATCTCACAAGAATTTGCAAAATATCACAAGAGTTTGTAACAGAACGATGAAATTTCATGAGATTTTGAAAGTAAAATAGATCGATACCGCGTTTTTAAAAATCAATTTGATATCAGCATATGAAAATATATTTGAGTATATTATCTTTCAAAGTGTCAGAAATGGATAACAAAACTGCTATTTTCAATGACTACTTATTTTTGTCCAGCTTTAACATCGGTATCGATATCGGTTATCGGCTACACGAGTTTTAAAATATCGGCATATCGGATATCGGCCAAAATCCCAATATCGTTCATCCCTAGTATTGGTTTTTATTTCCCCTTTTATATAATAAAAATCACACAATGATAATAAATGTTCAATTACAATTCTTAATTTATACTCAAAAACATTTATCAGCAAATCAAATAAAACAGTATAAACAAATAAAACAATCCACTTGGGGAGCAGTGGGATGCCATTTGCAAGCAGTGTTAAGGGTTAAGGGTCTATCTTAGGGACCCAAAGTGGCAGTCTGTTGGAGTGGGTTTCAAACCTACAACCTCAGGATTTCAAGCTCTATGCCCTAACCACTAGACCACCACTCCCTGCACAACTAATATGTAATAAATGTCATGTGAATGGCTCCAGGACATGTAGGCAGCACTGTAACATATCTATTTATACAGCTTATTAGCAAAATAAAAGGTTGTATTGATGGATTAGTTGCTCTTAAAAATAGAAAAATTAGTGAAAAGGCCATAACAATGTGGACTGCTCAGTTGCCTTTAGAATATTGTATCCATAAGTTGAAGCAGGGTGCAGGAGATGGCTGCAGAGCATCATCTTTTAGTCCACCCACTCAGACATCACTACTGCTGTTGGAAGGCCAGCATCATTCAGCACTTCGCTGCATAAATCTCAAGGGTCGGGGCGGGGGCTCCAGATGCGGTTGGAACCGGCGGCGGTTACAGCTGTGCGTTTGTGTCATAAACCACCAGCCATGTTTCACGCCACTGTCCAGAGACCGCGTCTGTCGCTCTGTTTTGACAGAGCCGCGCTGCTCCCAGAGCAGCGTCTCGCTCACTGCAAACACGCCCAAACTATCTCAGCGGGCGCAGCTCAAACACGTCTGGCTGCTGCTCCACAAGAACCCGATCCTTCGCTGGCAGATTTATGGGGTGCCACAGAAGTCTGAGAGAACGTGAGAAAGCACTAATAGGCTGGAAAACGCCTGTCCTCCTCCAAGATGGATGACCTTAATGGAATTTGTTCCATTTGTGGTAAAACATTACTTTTCAAGCATTAAGTGATTTTCACTTTTTTTTCTTTCACAGGACAAATATTGATGAAGTGGAGACAGAAGTTGTGGAGATCGAAGCAAAACTAGAAAAGGTAAAACATTTCTTATACATTCTTTATAATAGTTTTTGGTGATGATTGGAAAGATTACATCTTTGGTTTATTTTTTTTATTTTTTTTTTATTTAAACAGTGAACATATGATTATATCACATTGGTGAATGGGCATGCACCATGTGCCCTTTGGTAAATGCACCTTGCTTTGTGCTCTGGTGCACACTCATGTTGGTAGACGAATGGGCCAGCTAATAAAATAATAATAAAAATCATTAAACTTTATTGATCGGATTGATTGGAGAAATTTACCTCTGCATTTAACCCATCCCATTGTCTAGAATGTCTTGGTCTGCCAAAGCATTAAGAGTTTATTACCCCATTTACACTACCCTTGAAAAACCGATCCATGTGGAGACCGGTCCGAGTTCGGATCAGTTAACCAGGCCGAGCTCTGTTCTGACGACCGTTTACACATCACGGTATCTCGGTTCCTCGCCTCCTCGCCTCCTAGTGACGATCTGCGGTATTACTGCCAGTATTGAAGGAGGAAATCGAGCAGTTGGTGGCGGTAATGCACTAGAAGTTGTTTGCCAACTGCCATAAAACACAAGAAGAAATCGAAGAAGGAGGGAATCAAGCAAATCAAAATGGCGGCGCCCGTCACATTCAGAAAGTTATGCTTGATTATTATTGTTGTACTTTGGTGTTACTATTTAAAATGCCATTATTTAAAATATTGCGTGGAGAAGATTTTGATTGTTTATAGTTGTTGTTGTTCTTCTGTTTTGTGATGGTTGGCAAGCAACTTCCGGAGGGGCATTACCGCCAACTACTGGAATGGAGTGTGAATCGGAATGTGCAGCCAGACGGAGATGACGCGTTCTGCTCATGCACTCTTGTTATGAGAGAACCGAGCCGAGCCCACCTCTGGAACTGATCTGCAGTTAGCGCAGTTCGGTTGTGTCTAGCCTGGTTCAGTTCAGTTTGCTTTCCATTTACACACGATAAGTTATCTCAGTTACTGAGCTGCGACCGGTTTCAGCACGGTTTTTCAAGGGTAGTGTAAATGGGGTATATTTCACTGGAACTAAGGGGCCAAGCCCAGCTCCTGGAAAACAACCCCCATGACCTCATGATCCCCCCTCCGCTAAACTTAACAATTGGCGCAATTAAGTCAGATAAGTGCCCTTCTCCTTGCAACCACCAAACCCAGACTGCTCCATCAGATATTCCAGATGGAGAAGTGCAGTTCGTCACTCCTGAGAACATGTCTCTGTGTCCCTGGAGTCCAGCAGCGTCATGCTTTACACCACTGCATCAAAACGCTTTGCATTACATTTGGTGATGTATGGCTTAGACGCAGCTGCCCGACCATGGAAAGTCATTCCACAAAGCTCTCTGTTCTTGAGCCGATCTGAAGGCCGCATGAAGTTTGGAGGTGTGTAGTGACTGACTCTGCAGAAACTTGGTGACCTTTTCTCACTATGAGCTTCAGCATCCTGTGACCTCATTCCTTCAGTCAACCTGATCTTCTCTGCCACTTTAAGGCTGAGTTGCTGTCGTTCCCAAATGCTACCATTGTCTAATGGTGCATCTGACACTTGACTTTGGAATATTTAGGAGCAAGAAAATTTATTGACTGGATCTGTTGCACAAGTGGCTTCCTGTATGGGAAGCTTTTCAAAATCTAAAACATTAGTGCAGTGGTTTATGTTATAATAAACCTTTGGGTTAAGTTGTCGCAAGCAGGTTTTTCTTGTGTTTCTTGTGATTTTGGTCTTAAATTTTTATTTCAAGTGGCATTAAAAAGTCTTAAAAAGTCTTGAATTTAACTCGCCTTATGCTGTAGGAACCCTGGTTTTATGCTGGAACTCACTGAGTTCCTAAAAGTCACCCCTTCCTTCACAACAGTGTGCTGGCCCAGATGCTTGCTGCTATACACCTGTGATCATGGAAGAGATTGGAACACCTCATGCCAATGATTTGGAAGGGGAGAGAAATACTTTAGGCAGTATAGTGTTGATTTTCTATAAATTATAAAACATGTTGGCTTTTTACTGGCCAGTATGCTAAAAGGCCATATTCTACGTTTCACGGGATCTAAACAAACTTGTTTCAAATCTGTTTCTAAAGCTTTAAAACCTTGCAAACTAGACAATCCTATGCGAAAAAAAATATTTATAGGAAAATGTGCTTTCCATGGTGCACTTTATTTTGTTTGTAGAAGTTGAAATGGCTGTTTTTCTGTATGGTTTTGATAACGGACACAGTTCAAATCCCACAGCTGAGAGGATCTAGAGGCCAGAAAAACATTGAAACTTTAATTTTTTTAAATCTAAAATGTTGAGCCAGTCTGCATTTTTTTAATTTACTTACAGGATCCAGACTAATCAAGGTGTTTTGCAGCACATCATAGAAAACTTGAGCTTTTCTAAAGATTTAATGCTATTATTGCATTTTATTTTTAATAATAAGTAATTAAACACATACATTAATGAAGAGATAAGAATTTAGAAAAATTAAGAAAAATTAAGAAAAAAATTTAAGTTTAGTTTATTTATCCTTAATTAAACTTAATCACTGAATCATTTCCAAACTTCATTTAAAGCATGTTTTTAATCCAAATGATAAATTAATCTGCCTGTAAAACTTTCAATCACAGCATTGCTTGTTGGACACATTTAGGAGGCATAATCCTTCAAATTTAATGAATTGTTTCCTTTTTTTAAAGTGAAAAATCAGCTGAATTTCAATACTTGCTGAACACATCTGCATTCACCTCTCCTTTATTTCCAGCTCTAAGACAAAGCGAGCCTCTTGATCAATAATTAAGTTAGCACCTGGTTACATGGAATAAAATAAAAAGCTTTTGTTTTGTAGGTAATATGAATATTTATTTTCTTAATGCGAAGAATTGCAAAATGTTAAAGCTGTGACCTTAGTACTGTCCTCTATGGAGTTAAATGATAAAGTCCGCTGCATACATCCGATTAAAAAAAACAATCCTCTTCAGTTTAAGCTTTGTTTTAAGAAAGATCATCCATATTTTATAAAGCTTAAATGATTGTGCATTCTCTGCTGGCTGCATTGATCCCTCTGTCCCTTTTATTGCAAAGGAAGAATTCCTTTCATATAAATTTTTATGTTTTGTTGTTTTAACCTTTATAAGAAGTGAAGCATGCATGGTAGTAGTCCTCCTTATAGCATGAGTAGAAGGAAAAAAATAAAAATGTTCACCTTAAAGCTTCTTGCAGCGCACAATAGATAGTTTTACTGTTAGTCTCTGATCTTCTCTCCATCTAATCCCTAATCCCATACATACTCCCAGCATTAATGGCTTTGTGTCACTGGCTGCCCTCTCTCTGCTTAATGGACATCAAATGTCACTCAGTTGGGTTAAACAGTTCAGCGAGAGGTCATGGAGTTGTCTTGGCTTTCCTGTTGGCCAGATGCTTCTGTGCTGCTGGTGTCAGAAGTCCATCTGGTCCCGACTCTGACCCTGATCCTGACTTTCGATCCCAGTTTGTCAGATTAGAGACGCTGGTCTTTTCCTGCTATCGATGCTGAAAGCCTTTCGTTGTTGGACATGATTTTTCCTCCTAATCTCTCATCTATCACTTTCAGTCTACAAACCCAAAGCATGTTTACATCTAAAATCCCCTAAAGTTCTCGTTAAAGTGAGATTTGTGTTTTACCATTCAGTTTTTTTCCTGTGATCTTTTAACAAATGTAGAAAAGTCTGTTCTATGGATTGGCTGGAAAATTTCTGTTCCTTCTTCTTGGGTCTTTTAAAAGGTCTTTGACTGTTTCTAAATGCTTCAGGATGAGTCTGATGAGCGTTAGGAGTAAAGACCATCCATCCACTGTCCTTTTAGAGGTGTAATGGGGAGCTGCTGCTTTTGAAGAGGACAGTTACACCTCAGAGAGATCATTGGCCCATCACAGAGCAACAAACTTCTCTTTATTTTTTGCTTTTGTAGATAAAACTATTAGTGTTTACATATAAAGCTCCAGTTGACCCAGTTTCATACCTGTATTATTCTTTTTTCCAAACAGAGGACATCTTTCAGACTATGTGATTAGTTTGTACTGGATTGAAACAGATACTGATACTTGGCTCTCAGTTTATTTGTATTTCCTGTATTTAGAAACCCATATTGACACACATTCTATAAGTATATATATGTTATACAGTGCTGGTTGATTTACTGTGTCTCTTTTCTTTTTCTCTTCTGCAGCTGGTGAAGTTATGCAGCGGGATGATCGAGTCTGGGAAGGCATACATCAGCGCCAACAAGCTGTTTGTCAACGGCATCAGGGATCTGTCTCAGCAGTGCAAAAAGGATGAGATGATCTCGGTGAGATTCTGACTCCACCCGGCCTCCCTATCGCTCATTACATTTATTAAATGTAACTCCTAATGAGTACTTAACCTTTAAAGGTTTGCTTGTAAAAGGCAAGTTTCCTACTGTTTGGGTGTTGTCCTACTGGGTTGGTTTATATGTGAATAAACCTTATTACTCACTGATTAGTTAGTGAAAATCACATCTGGCCTGGAAGAACTTGGGCTTAATTTCCAGACGGTTCTAATGTTTTCTGTCTAAAATTGTCTAATAAACGCCTTCTTGACTTCAAACTTCTGACTAAATGTTATTATTCCCATTAATGTCTTGTTCAGATTTGGACTTTCCATTGTAAAATAAGGAATGAATCAGCTTTAGAGTTATAGGTGTTTCCCATAGGTTGTTAAAAACACAGCGATTGTATAAATCAGCTTACATTTCCCAGTTCTTTTCTTTGCCTCTTTTTGTACAAGTCATATTGACGTTTTTTTTTATCATGGCAGCTTTCATTTGCTTCTTTATATTTAAAATAGCTAAACATTAAAATTTTCTTTGATTCTCTTTGCAGGAGTGCCTGGAAAAGTGCGGAGAAAGTCTGCAAGAGATCATTAATTACCACATGGTAGGTGAATTATTGACAGTGGGTAGAGTCGAGCAGCACAATGCTAACAGTCTCTGGTCCCGTAAAGTAATAGTACACCCAAAACATGATTAGCCTTCATTTTCTACTCACCCCCATGCTGAACAACACTCTGGAGTACTTTTTTGATATCTCAAATGCATCTGGAGATCCGGGAGGCTTCTTGCTGTCTGCTGACATTCAAATAATGGAGGTCTATGGTGACCGAGACAGAAAGGTCCATAAAAGTCCACAAAAAACGTGTCAATATTCCTCCATACTGCTCGTCCAATGTATTCCAAGTGTCCTGAGTGGGTAGCATCCAGAATTTACTCGAAACGAAGTCATTTAGAATGTTTTTAGAGCATAAACAGTAGTGTATAGGATTTCCTAGAAGCGCGTTCACGAGTCTACGGAAACCGCGGCAGACCAAACCAGATGAAAGTGCGCATTCAGCGTCTGCTCTGCCGATAATGCAAGCGTAGAAGAAGAAATGTGCTGTTTACCTGTGCAAAGAAAGAAACAACGAAAGAAAAATGTCTTAGGACTTCAGTGTTTAGGAAGAGCATGAGTTCTTTGCCGAGCTGAATACGCACTTTAGAATAGATTCTATTGGCTTCTGGCAAACTTTAAACTCAGTAGTTTGTTCACAAATTCAACTCGCTTGCAAGGTAATTAATCGTATGCGAAAAAATAGGTAAGATATGTAAAAATAACTCATCTTTGATGTACATGGAGGTTGGCGTTCTGAGCAGTGGAGGGGGCAAATACTCAAGTCAGATTAGATTTAGCTGATGGACCTCAATAATCCTTCATAACCTTGCCATATTGTAGAGTTCATGACATTTGCTGGCTCATCCACTTCATGTGTGGATTCTGCTGGGAGCCTATGAGCCTCTTTTCTCACATTTCTGCTTTAAAATACCAAAGAAGCCTTGGAAATGATGACAGAATCTTCATTTTGTTTTCAAAAGGCCTTTGGCCGCTATAGGCTAATAAAATCAGCCATGAACATTTTCTGAATAAAATGTGTCAGGAAGCTGTCGGCGATCCTTCTGTTGAAGCAACATATGGATTTATGAATAATTTGAGTTCTCATGTTAGCAGGTTTAGCATCGGTCCATTGAGTGTTTATGGTGTAGATCAAAGTTGAAAGTTTAAGGATTATAATATTAAATAATATGGTTATTTAAACTGAATAAGAAGAAAACCAACCATTATCTTTGACATGAACTCTTTTTTTCATGTTTCTATAGAGCAGCATTTAAATCAGAGACTGCAAGCTTATCGGTTTAATTATAAAATTAATGCTGATGCTGAGTTTCCGTCTGCATCTTGGTGCAACTCAACCTAAACATGACAGCCGAGCACTTAAAATGTGATTCTCTGATAAATACGGAGTCCAAGTGTTCTATACTCATATGAATATTGCATTGATGATTGCCAACGTGTGCATTGTAATGCTTGCAGATTGAAACTTTTGTCCTGATATCTTTGGACGAAACATTAAGATGGGAGCCTGGAGAGATGAGTTGATCTAGAACCACACAGGCAAGAAAAAAACTAACAAAATGGCTCTAAGCTATGCCTGGCTAATGACTATCTTAGCTAGCAAATTTCTTTATCAAATCTAACTGCAAGGATAATTAATTGGACATAATTTTCAGCTCATTTTTGTTAGATTTGTTTTTTTTGTTAGATTTGGATCTTTTCTCCATATTGGAGGCAATATTTATACCTCCCCGGTTTTGAGCGGTTTTGCTCTGATCGCCACGCAGCTGCAGATATGTTGCTTTTTATTGGAAAAACAAAACAAAGCCTCTGACACTTGGTCAAGTTAGCTTCCCTCCCAAACATGGATGTCTAACCCCTGCTTTCAAAACTGACTCTCTGTCTGCTGGTGAGGTTGTAGCGTTTGTTTGTTTGTTTGTCAGTTGGTGAACAACTCTGAAGTAGAGCCGAATGAATTTGATTAATTGGGATTTATCAATTATTGAAATAATTGACATTTAATTCAATTAAATTCTGTTTATTTATATAGCACCAATTCACAACACATGTCATCTCAAGGCACTTTACAGTTCACAAGATCATGAAGTCAAATTGATTCAAACTTTTCTATCTAAGGAAAACCAGTTGATTGCATCGACTCATTGACTCTAATGCAATCCCTCACACTAAGCATGCTTGTAGCGACAGTGGAGAGGAAAAACTCCCTTTTAACAGGAAGAAACATCCAGCAGAACCAGACTCGGTGTGAGCGGCCATCTGCAGAGGCCGACTGGGGTTCAAGGAGACGGAAGCAGAGATATAAAATGCAACGGTAAAAGGCGGCTCCCATGTCAGAGGAGAAAGAGAGAACATTCAGCGAGTCACAGGCAGAGAAACAGGACTACACTAAAAATCAGGCAGATCTCCAGCATCCATAAACAAAGGTGTTGATGGCAGCAGCACAGCTGATATTTCTTTCGAGGATGGAGTCACAGCCAAACAGGAACAGATGAGGTGAAGCTACTATGAGAAAAAGCAGAGGGAGCAGAACGTTAGAGATTAAACTAACAGAGTGGGAGAATAGAGATAGAATGAAGCAGAATGATCAAATAGGGGTCCCTATGTGCTCCAGCAGTCTAAGCCTATAGCAGCATAGGATAACCTGAGCCAATCTAACTATAAGTTTTATCAAAAAGAAAAGTTTTAAATTTGAAAATTTTAATTTTTAAATGTAGTCACTGATTAATCTTTAACTGGAACTACAGACTTCAAAACAACATACTCGGAGCAGAAATTATATTTAGATTCTAAAAAAAAAAAGATATAAATATCTTCCATTTAAAGCTACAGTGTGTAATTTTCAGCGACATCTAGCGGTCAGACTGCAGACCGCAGCAACATGAACATCCCCCCCCCACCGCTTCTCCCCCCCAACAATACGGCGAGCGTTACGGGACAAAATGTCTTCCACGACGTCCGCATCACCTACCTTCTCAAGTGATGAGGTTTGTTTACATAGATAATTTTACAGATAGTATTTCATTAGTCTGTGTAGGGTATAGATTGTTCAGTACCGTCTGAGTTAATCTCTCTCAACTTGCCGTAGTTACTTTCGACCGTAATGGGCGATCTCGCAATCGCTAGTTTGTTGGCTCTGCGCTGCCGTAGCGCAAAGATGTCTGCCTCCATGGCTGCGAGACCCGCTCCAATGTAATTATAAATAACGAATTCTAAGGCAACGCAAATATTAAGGTTAAGAGGCTGAGCTCGTAGATGATGATAAATAACATAGTTATGTATAATATATTACATTTCTGACTGTATATCCCTGTAATTATTACACACTGTAGCTTTAAGATGAAAAACCTTTTGTTCTGTTAATATGCTCTGTCCAGAATTCCTCAATAGACTTTTACCTTGGTTCAAATTATACATAAAATCATCTTTAATGAACCTTTTGCTGTCTGGTAATTGTTTTTATACAAACAATAGTCAACAGATAATTTGATTACCTTCTTTCTTCTTCCTGACTGGATGATCTGGTTGAACTGTAAAGTGCCTTGAGATGTCCTCTGTTGTTAATTGGCGCTATATAAATACATTGAATTGAATTAAATTAAATTAGCCAAATAATTATCAGTTGCACCCATTGTTAGGGTGATTGGTTCACGTTTTCACTAGTGAGTGATTAACCGATAATTGGATGTGAAGCCGATCTTTTCCACCAATCAGATCTACCTCTGTAAAGCTCTGAACCACACCCACTGATAACACTTTAAGCTTTAATTTACATTTGAGAGCAGTTATTTCAGAAATTTTTATTGTTTCACAGGCAATGTTTTTTTTTTTTTCAGTAGGATAAGATTGAAATATCTTGAGTCAGAAAAAAAAAAATCTGTATCATTAAAAATCAGAATGGGCGTGTCAAAATATTTAAAGATCTGTAATCTGTTCACCCCTATTTTCCACAGAGTTTTTCTTATTTATATGTCTAAATAAGGAAGTAAATGTGTTTAAATACACAGTTTCTGCATCCGTTACTCTCTTTAAAATTCCATTGGCCCGATTTCACCGTAATTAGACAACTTTCTGCGTAACCTGCGGTGCTGAAATGCGCTGGACAGAGCCTTAGGGGAAGGGAGCCCAGATGTCAGTCAAAGGGACAATGCATCTTAAAAAAATAAGTGTGGCAGCCTGAATATCATTCTAGCAGGGATAAATTAAAATACGCTGGCGAGGAACTCTGCACTTTTTAAAGAGAAGCAACTGGCTGAGGTAAGGCCCTTAAGAGGGATTTCTTTGTTTAGCCATGAGAGCATTGCATTGCGCAGCCATATTTGACAACAATATCACTTAATTAAACATTAAAACAAAGCAAACTCAAATGCTGAGATTGTGAACAATGTCTTCATTCCCAATTGTAATATATGCATTAATTAGGGAGGCGTTTCATTGCTGTGAAATTTATGTTTGCGTTTCATTGCTGTGAAATTGATGTTTCATGATTCAGTCAGCAAGTGGGTCAATGCCACAGCAGAGTGTTTCTTAAAGCGACGCAGCGTTTGTTCTATTGGACTGATGCTCTTTCAAGCAGAAGTGGCTTTTGATTCGATTGGCACTCTAAGTTTAATCATACGAGAGCTTTAAAAATATAATGTTACACGCAGCTTTCTTTGTTTTCACTGCTTTCTACTTCGGTCTCCCTCCGCCTGCTTTGTCTGCTTCAGCATGTTGCACTATAGAGACCATGAGAGCGCGGCCTGGCCTGGGATCAGCTGGCCTCCTCCACTTTAAGCCCAGCTGGGCTTTCAGACTCATTTCTCTCTCTCTCCCCTCCAGTCATTCGCTGAGTGGACAATAATATGATTCATCAAAGGTTTTCTTTGTTTCTTTGATGTAAAGTAGAACAGAGGGGATGGATCCGATTGCGTTGTGATGAGGGGATCCCCTCAAGACCAAGCAGCAATGTGGAGTAATATTTTAGGCATCGTCTGCATGTTCATTTTTCTACGGAAGAGGATTAGGGCCACTGAAAAAAAAAAAAAAAGTAGGACTGGGCGATATAGAAAAAAAGCTTATCGATAAAAAAAAATGCATATTGATCGATATCGATAATTATTGAAAAGATTTGAAACCATATTTTATGTGCAGCTCTGCCTGGACTTTTTATGATATTGCTAAATGATTTAATTTTAATAAAGAACACAAACACAGACTTCGAATTAAATCTTTATTTAACCAACTTTTTTAACCATAACAGAATTGTTATAAAGAAAAATAACTTAAGAGACCTGAGTTATGTTATTAAATACTGACAAAGAATAAACTAAAGTGACCAGAAAAGTGACCAAAATAAAAATAATAACAGTTATTACTTTGAAGTTTCTGGCCCCTCAGCATTTTTTATCTCAATTGTTAGAACTACGTGGGAAACTGCCCAGAACTGAAAAAATATATATTATTTCCCGAAATCCCCGAAGATTCCTCGGAGGAGAGCCGCGTCGGGGCCTACACAGCTCGTACTCCTGCGGCTGTGAGCGGCTGAGATGATAAAAAAAAAAAAGTTGGTTGTGTTATCAGACTTCGTTTTCACTGGTTCACTTCAAATTTTCCAGATGACTGTGGTTTGTTTTTGGTCCGACTTTCCATGACCGAAATACTGCCAAACTGGCAAACTACAAAAACCCTTCTTTGGAACAATTTCCTCCGCCTCTCCTTGCTGCGACATCTTCATGTGCTCTGTGTAGTGGTTTGAGAGGGCGGAGCTTTGTGACGGCGTGCCTGGGTCCGCGATTGTGATTGGTTAGGAGGAAGTAGTGACTAGCATAAACCTACATGCTAGACTACAATGAGAAGGAAGGAAAACTGCGTTTCTTTATCGAACTTTTATCGACTCTCTTTTTTTCTATTGCGCCACACGTCTATCGATCGATATATATCGTTATTGAATTATCAAACAGCCCTAAAAAAAGGTTATCTGATTTTTACATTTTATTTCAGTTTAACATGGGAAAAAAGTCAGAATTCTGACTTTTTTCTCAGAATTCTGACTTTAATCTCAGAATTCTGACTTTTTTCTCAGAATTCGGACTTTAATCTAAGAATTCTCACTTTAATCTCAGAATTCTGACTTTAATCTCAGAATTCTGATGTTTTTCTCAGAATTGTGACTTTTTTCTCAGAATTCTGACCTTTTCTCAGAATTCTGACCTTTTTCTTAGAATTCTGACTTTTTTCTCAGAATTCTGACTGAATTCTGACAATGAAAAAAGTCACACGCTGCTCCTTTTTCTCATAGGCGAAGCGTTTACACTCCAGAGCAGAAGGTGGCGGTACTGCGACCAAAGCCAACCACCAGTAGTAAACGAAGAAGCGAAGCAGCGTAGCCGGGTGTAGCAGAAAAAAATCAGTTGTTGTGGAGAATTGTTTGGGTATGGCGAGTGGGAAAGAACAGGAGTTGGAAGACGCGCCAGCAGCACTTTATAGGTCTGCTGTACGGGACCGCTTTGCATTTAGAGTGACCTACGATGACGACGGAAAGAAAGTTGTGGATAAAAGTGCAACAGTGTGCAAGCATTGTGCAACACGTTTTGTTTATGCTAACAGCAACATGACCAACATGTCATGCTAACCCCGAAATCCCACATACTCCGTCAGCGATCCGCCCCGCTGCGCTCCAGACCGCCTGCGCAAAGCACAGCATACAGCCTCCGCTGTGGCTCCCGTCCGCTCCGCTCTGAGTTCCTTGGAGATCGTACAGGGCATGCGCCAGATGATTAAATTCAAAGCAGCAAAATATGCGGAAATGATCCAGGGTTTCTGTGGATCGTTAAAATAGTTACAATTCATTAATTTTTGGGGGATTTTTTCATTAATTTCATTAATTTTTATTAATTTTTTTATTTTTCGGTGTAACAATAAACATATATCGAACCGAACCAAAAATCGTGACCACGAAACCGTGAACCGAATCGAACCATGGATTTTGTGAACCGTTCCACCCCTAATACAATTCTATACATTATTTCATGAAGAAAATTTCATGTTTGTTGTATTAACAGTTAACTATTAACATTATAGTTTTGTTTCAGATATGGATGACCCCCTTTACCTACACCTTAGAAAAAACTTTAATATAAAGTATCCTATTCTGAGCTGAAAGCTTTTAACTAACTTCCACTTAAAGCACAGTCAACCTGTTTGCTCTTCATCCTGTGAAAGGCTGGAGCTCGTTCCAGCAAAACAGTCAAAGAATGCACCAATCTGCAAATTTAGCAGAGCCAGGAAGTCTCCTTCAACATGCAAACACCATAGACCGTGGAATGCTGGGTTAGCCAAGCATGCAGCGTGTGGCCGACATTGTGCCACCATCCAGCTCCGCGCTCAACATAATCACCTCTGCGCTGTGGTGTTTACTCACCGCAGTCCTGCTAATTTAGTTTTCAGTCACCAAGCGTTGGTTGGCGTCTGATGGCATGAATGGACAGCTCCACAACATCTGTTTTTTAAGAGCCCTTTAAACTGCATCTACAGTAACAGACTCGCCTTAGACACACAGTGCGGGCCCGTTCTAGTGCTTTGTCTTCTCTAAGAAGGAATCTAAAAAGATTTCTTACTACTGAAGATTTCTTTTAATCCAGTTGTTTTGCATGCCAGTAAAATACATCTTTAAAGCCAGCATCAACACAAAAATGACTCATTTGGTGGTTTCTGGAAATCCACTAAACTGACCACTTCCAGATTATATTTAGACTCTAAATCTTTCCTGTGCAGGGAGACTGGACCATCCCAGCAGCGCAGTTGTTTTATGACAGCATGTAGGTTCAGCCAGGCTCTTCTGTTCTGCATCGGATGCAGAACTAAAAGCCTCTCCTCCCAGTTCTCCCCTCCCTCTGTGTTCAAGTGACCTATTTAGCAGCAGCAGACGATGCGTTCAGAGGGCGCAGGGGAAGGGGCTTTAATTAAAATCTGGAAAAAAAAAAAGCCTGGTATTATATCGGAGTAGACATGTTCAAGTTAGAGCAGGGTTCCCTTTCTATTCCTTTCCTAAGGCTGACTTGATCAATTATGAATCACTTGTCTTGTGGAACTAAATGAAAAAGATGTGCTTTGTCGCCCCCTGATGGTGACTAATGTAGATACATTGGTGTTCCCCATTCTACTAGAAATTAGCTCCTTTTTTTTTTGATCTGAGGGTGTAAGACACTGAATTCATGAAATAAGGTTCAAGATTGGAGGATTGTAGCATTTACATCTTTTCTTTTCTAATAGAGAATTATTTTCACTATCTGCTTTTTGTCTTTTTGTTTTATCAATATGATTGTGTGGCTTTTTCATTTATTCTCATTTTTCTGAACCTAAAATCGTGTTGTTTTCTTTCTTCTCTCTTTCAGATACTGTTTGATCAAGCCCAGCGTTCTGTGAAGCAGCAGTTGCACAACTTCGTGAAAGAGTGAGAGAACCAGCCATTATTTTTCTGTCACATTTTTTTTTACATTTTGCATGTTTTATTTATATCATTTGAAGTTTTTCATGTTTTTGCAATATTATAATCATCAACCTAAGCAGGGGAGGTTCTAGACAGGGGCCAACAGGGGCCAGTGTCTCTCTAGAACATGCCCTGCAAAAACTAAAACACAAGTGAGCCTTTTTTTCTTGAAATATGTTTATTTTCCCTTGATTTGAGCAGATGCATACGTTTAATATTACACTGGAAAAACGATCTAGAAATAAGTAAAAATATCTTAAATTAAGTGTATTTACCCTTAATTTGAATAGATAAATATGATTGTTTGCCAAAGAAATTAGTATTATTACTCTTAAAATAAGATAATTAGATAATATACATTTGAAATAAGACAATGCAATTGTGTTTTCCTATTTTAAGTGTAAATTGTCTTGTTCCATTGGTAAAATGTCTCTTTTACCTCCTCAAACCGAGAGCAAATGCACTTATTTTAAGAAAAAATGACTTATCTAGATTTCGATTTTTTCCAGTGTATACTTACTGTCACCTAAATGTGCTGGATATCGGTGACTCCCAACCAGAGGGTATTCGTACCCATAGTGGTCCGTGAGTGCATTGTACGGAAGAGGATTAGGGCCACTGAAAAAAAAAAAGAAAAGTTAACTGATTTTTAAATTTTATTTCAGTTTAACATGGGAAAAAAAGTCAGAATTCTGCCTTTTTTTTTAAGAATTCTGAATGAATTCTGACAATAAAAAAGTCATAATTCTGAGATTAAAGTCAGAATTCTGAAAAAAAAGTCAGAATTCTGAGATTAAAGTCAGAATTCTGAGGAAAAAAGTCAGAATTCTGAGATTAAAGTCAGAATTCTGAGAAAAAAAGTCAGAATTCTGAGATTAAAGTCAGAATTCTGAGGAAAAAAGTCAGAATTCTGAGATTAAAGTCAGAATTCTGAGGAAAAAAGTCTGAATTCTGAGATTAAAGTCAGAATTCTGAGGAAAAAAGTCAGAATTCTGAGATTAAAGTCAGAATTCTGAGAAAAAAGTCAGAATTCTGAGATTAAAGTCAGAATTCTGAGGAAAAAAGTCTGAATTCTGAGATTAAAGTCAGAATTCTGAGGAAAAAAGTCAGAATTCTGAGATTAAAGTCAGAATTCTGAGGAAAAAAGTCAGAATTCTGAGATTAAAGTCAGAATTCTGAGAAAAAAGTCAGAATTCTGAGATTAAAGTCAGAATTCTGAGGAAAAAAGTCAGAATTCTGAGATTAAAGTCAGAATTCTGAGAAAAAAGTCAGAATTCTGAGATTAAAGTCAGAATTCTGAGAAAAACTAATCTCAGAATTCTGACTTTTTTCCCATACTATACTGAAATAAAATAAAAAAAATCTGTTCACTTTTTTTTTTTCCAGTGGCCCTAATCCTCTTCCATAGCATTGCGAGCGGTACAAAATAAAAAAAAAAAATGTTATTGCTTATGTAGTAAGACCAAATAGGGCTGGGATCTGTTTTGCTTTGTGAGAACCACATTAAAAAATTAAACAAGCTTTTATCCACCAAAAAATGTGTTGTTTTTTTTTTTATATATATTTGAATTCACCTTCAGCTTTGACACATCAAAACCAAGTAGAGGAACAGACTGGATGTAGAGAACAGTCTGATATCGGCTGATTTTAATACTGAGCTATCGGAGCCTATCAAAGCAGCTCAGGTGTCTTGATGAAAACAAATAAAATTAATTAAATCAGTCTTACTATAATTTTTGTTTTGCATTTTGTTCCCAATTCATAAAGTTCAAATGTGATGATAAGGGAGCTCCAGTTTTATAAATGCCGGTTTATAATATGATTTTATTTAGTATTTGTTTCAATTCCTTAATAACTGACAGGCAACATATTTATGTTGTTTTTTTTATTTTTGATTTAAAGCTGAAATGCCGAACAATTAAATCTTCAAATTAAAAGATTATGTAAAATATTTTTTTTATTTTATAATCAGTTATTGTACATTCCACTTTTGGACAATTATCAATACTTTTCACTGAGAGGGGGACTCCTGGTAAGACAAAATACCCAAAGGGGGACACATGTCAAAGAAGGTTGGGAACCACTGCTGTAAATGATGCACAATAGACCAGAATCTGTGGTTAGCTGCAGTGGTTACTTGAAATACCTACAAATCATAACTTTTTGATGATGTTTGAGGTGAAGTTTTGAGTAGACGTCAAATTTTTGTGTCTGTTTGTGTCAGGGATGTTCGGAAGTTCAAGGAGACCAAAAAGCACTTTGACAGGGTGCGGGAGGATATGGAAATAGCGCAGGTGAAGAACGCTCAGGCGCCCAGGAACAAGCCGCACGAGGTCGAAGAAGCCACCAGCTCACTCAGCATCACCCGCAAATGCTTCCGACATCTTGCTCTAGACTACGTCCTGCAGGTTAGTCAAATGATCAGTAAAGTGTAAACAAACAACCAGTAACATGAATAAAGAAGATGGATTAGCCTGTTTTCCAGCAGCAACATTACTGGCGAAGGACAAAGAAAACGGATTCAGAGTGATCCCACGCATGGTTCTGCCCCCATTTTTATGTTCTAGCTTGTCTCCTGACATCCCTCTCATGCAGCTGCTGTAGATCTGACCCTTTTGAACCTTTAATTCATTGTGTCTCTATGCAGAGAAGGTCAAAGCTGCAGGCATTTCACTGTATGTCTAAGTGACAGATTTAATGTAGCACAAAATATCTTTTAGGTTTGCATCTTTACGACATACAGTGCAAAGCTTTTAACCGAGCCATCCCTCTGGGGCTGTGTTCACCACTGTAGTGCGAGGGAAAAAAGTCAATGCGATCATTTATATGAGGGCACTCTGAGGATAGTCTATCACCGTTAACTTCAGTCGGACTTTATGGTGTTGCTGTACTCTCAGAAAAGGGAAATGAAGGGCTCCCACTAGAGGGAGTCATCCCAGTCGCTTATTTTTACTCATGTTTGTCGTCGTTTTTCCACAGATTAACGTCCTTCAGGCAAAGAAGAAATTTGAGATCTTGGATGCGGTACGTCGGGGGAGAATTTACAGACACTTCTCTCTACTGGGACTTCATGCTGATCTTTAACCTTAATGTTTTTCCATGCAGATGCTCTCATTCATGAACGCCCAGTACTCGCTGTTCCAGCAGGGATACAACCTTCTTGATGAGCTCGACCCATATATGAAGAAACTTGCCGCTGATGTAAGCAAAGTATCTCTTCATATCTTTGTATAAAATATCCCTTCCATCCTTTCGTATGTCCATCTTCTTTCCTTCCCGCCTGGTTTGCATATTTCCGTTTCTGACTATAGAAATAGGCTATATTTACACAAGAGGATATTTAAACTTTGAAATATGTGCTAAATGTTTGGAAATGTATTCATTTTTCCCCTTAAAATATGTAAGAGCCCTGTTGTCCTGTACTCCAGCTTTTATTTCACATTAAAATGTGAAAATAAAGCTAGATTTCTTGAGGCATTTTAGATCTTTGCCGTTTTTCTCTGACATCAGTTCATTCTCAGTTTAAATTAGGATGATCAACCTTAAATTACACATTTATTCCAAATTAGATTAAAAGAATGATTTCAGAAAATTGAGTAGGATACTCCAGATAACACTTTTATTTTGCTAATGCAAAAAAGTCGATTATCCGCTTTGTTTACAATCTAACTCCATCGTCTAAGCTGATCAGAGCCAATTTTTCTCGGGTTTCGCAGAATCAGAAGATGACCGGAGGATTAAAACATCCTTACACTGCAAAAACGATCTAAAAATTTGTAAAAAAGTCTTAAATGAAGTACATTAACCCATAATTTGAGAAGGAAAATAAAATGATTTTCCTATGGAATTTGTATTTTTACTCCTAAAATAAGATAATTAGATAATATGCACTTGAAAGAAGACAATGTAATCGTTTTTTTCTTATTTTAAATGTAAATTGTCTTGTTCCATTGGCAAAGTGTTACACTTACCTCATTAATTCAAGAAAAGATGCACTTATTTTAAGAATAAATTACTCATTGAGATTTAAATTTTTTGAAGTGTAGACACTTAAGTTCCACATGATTTTTGCACGTTTGCTATTGAAATGTGTGCATACCCCTTTCCACCAGTTCTGACTAACTACTGTAATGACATGCAGTCTATCGTGCATCAAGTGCCTTTTTATTATACCTCTTGAAACAGCTACACTATAATTTTTTAGACTTATTTCTTTTTTTTTAAATCGAAAACAGGGCTGTAGTACGGTGGCCCTGAAGTACAAACTGCAACTACAAATCTAAAAGTGCAACTACATTAAGGAAATTGCAACTACATAAAGCAAAGCGCAACTACATTAAGGAAATCACAACTACAAAAAGCAAAGCACAACTACATTAAGGAAATCGCAACTACATAAAGCAAAGCGCAACTACACTAAGGAAATCGCAACTACATAAAGCAAAGCGCAACTACATTAAGAAAAACAAAACTACATTAAGCAAAGCACAACTACATTAAGGAAATCGCAACTACATAATGCAAAGCGCAACTACATTAAGGAAATCGCAACTACATAAAGCAAAGCGCAACTACACTAAGGAAATCGCAACTACATAAAGCAAAGCGCAACTACATTAAGAAAAACAAAACTACATTAAGCAAAGCACAACTACATTAAAGAAATCGCAACTACATAAAGCAAAGCGCAACTACATTAAGGAAATCGCAACTACATAAAGCAAAGCGCAACTACACTAAGGAAATCGCAACTACATAAAGCAAAGCGCAACTACATTAAGAAAAACAAAACTACATTAAGCAAAGCACAACTACATTAAAGAAATCGCAACTACATAAAGCAAAGCGCAACTACATTAAGGAAATCGCAACTACATAAAGCAAAGCGCAACTACACTAAGGAAATCGCAACTACATAAAGCAAAGCGCAACTACATTAAGAAAAACAAAACTACATTAAGCAAACCACAACTACATTAAGGAAATCGCAACTACATAAAGCAAAGCGCAACTACATTAAGGAAATCGCAACTACATAAAGCAAAGCACAACTACATTAAGAAAAACAAAACTACATTAAGCAAAGCACAACTACATTAAGGAAATCGCAACTACATAAAGCAAAGCGCAACTACATTAAGGAAATTGCAACTACATAAAGCAAAGCGCAACTACATTAAGAAAAACAAAACTACATAAAGCAAAGCGCAACTACATTAAGGAAATCGCAACTACAAAAAAGCAAAGCGCAACTACATTAAGAAAAGCAAAACTACATAAAGCAAAGTGCAACTACATTAAGGAAATCGCAACTACATAAAGCAAAGCGTAACTACATTAAGGAAATCGCAACTACATAAAGCAAAGCACAACTACATTAAGAAAAACAAAACTACATAAAGCAAAGCGCAACTACATTAAGGAAATCGCAACTACATAAAGCAAAGCGCAACTACATTAAGGAAATCGCAACTACATAAAGCAAAGCACAACTACATTAAGAAAAACAAAACTACATAAAGCAAAGCACAACTACATTAAGGAAATTGCAACTACATAAAGCAAAGCACAACTACATTAAGAAAAACAAAACTACATAAAGCAAAGCACAACTACATTAAGGAAATCGCAACTACATAAAGCAAAGCGCAACTACATTAAGGAAATCGCAACTACATAAAGCAAAGCGCAACTACATTAAGGAAATCGCAACTACATAAAGCAAAGCGCAACTACATTAAGGAAATCGCAACTACATAAAGCAAAGCACAACTACATTAAGAAAAACAAAACTACATAAAGCAAAGCACAACTACATTAAGGAAATCGCAACTACATAAAGCAAAGCACAACTACATTAAGAAAAACAAAACTACATAAAGCAAAGCACAACTACATTAAGGAAATCGCAACTACATAAAGCAAAGCGCAACTACATTAAGGAAATCGCAACTACATAAAGCAAAGCGCAACTACATTAAGGAAATCGCAACTACATAAAGCAAAGCGCAACTACATTAAGGAAATCGCAACTACATAAAGCAAAGCACAACTACATTAAGAAAAACAAAACTACATAAAGCAAAGCACAACTACATTAAGGAAATCGCAACTACATAAAGCAAAGCGCAACTACATTAAGGAAATCGCAACTACATAAAGCAAAGCACAACTACATTAAGAAAAACACAATTACATTAACCTACCGGAAAAGGTAGGTACGAGTAGGAAACATGAGACATCGCTGATTGGACGACGGCGCCGTTTGACCCTTGAACCGGAGGTCATTCTGCCTGCTGCGGCTTTTGAAAACATGGATATTGTCGGCGCCCCAAACATAGCTGCCGTTATCCAGGAATATTTTGAATCAGGACATACGTACGAGGTGATAACGGATATGCTCAAGACTAATGACGAAATTTCAGTTAGTTTGCGTACACTGAAGACACACTTAAAAGAAGCTGGACTGTTCAGACGACGCAACTTCCGGTTTAAGGGTCAAACGGCGCCGTCGTCCAATCAGCGCTGTCTCATGTTTCCCACTGGTACCTACCTTTTCCGGTAGGTTAATGTAATTGTGTTTTCCTTAATGTAGTTGTGCTTTGCTTTATGTAGTTTTGTTTTTATTAATGTAGTTGCGCTTTTAGACTTGTAGTTGCAGTTTGCACTTCAGGGCCACCGTACTGTAGTCATTAATCATGACGAATCTGTTGTTGAAATAATTGTCAACTAATTTGGTAACTGGATCCAATCTTTACCTAGAGTAATGATAAACTGGCTCTAAATTTAATTTGCTGAAAGGATTACATACTTAAAGCAGTAATTAAGACCAAACTAAACAAATATAAACTATAAACATTTGTAGCTGTATAATAAACAACGGTTTTTTTAAAATTAAGATTAAATTCTCTGTATATAGATAAATTATGAAATGTATATCCATGTATATTTTTTGCATTTTGTGATTTGTAATAAATTTTAAATACACAAAAATGTTAATTTACTAAAAGTATCTTTTTTTAGATTAATTGATTACCTAAAAAATAATCAATATATTAATTGATTACTAAAACAAATTGATAGTTGCAGCCCTAAAAACAATTTTGCTTATAGTTTTGTCTACAATCAACTCAATCCCTTATTTTTCACTTATTATTTAATTTTTGATAGAGTTCTATTTGGATTTTCCAATGAATTTGGTGTCATTTTATATTGTTTTCTTACTTGCTTTATTAACTATCGTTACCTTTCCCTGCTTGTCCTGTTCAGTTTTTTTTTTCTCAGCTTTTCTTGTCTATGTGAGCAGAACTTTATAAGCAGCATAAACATAACATGTACGATGTTCTCCCGTTTGTGAAATGACTTTCAGCTCGATCAGCTGGTCATCGATTCTGCCATGGAGAAGCGGGAGATGGAACATAAACATGCAACTATTCAACAAAGAGTGAGTTTCTGTTTTAAATCTCTTTTCCTCTCAAAACCTTGGATTATTTGTAAATCAAAGGCGTCTGCTCTAAAATTTTCTTTTAAAACTAGTTGTCAATAGGATTTCATTCTACGCTGATGATGATAAACAGTTTATACCCAATTTGTTTAGGGTTTTTTTTAATCCGCTGTATGTTGTGTTGTTTCTGCTATGGTTTGGATCTTTAAATAGGGGGACAGGTTGCTGCTGAGCTCCTCCTTCCTAGTTTCAGTTACCTTTTGTTCCAGAGCATCTGCTCTGACCGGGGAGGGATTAGAGGTGTGCATCTGGAAGGTGTTCGATTTATCTGCCAAACAAAGTGCGGCGCATTGATTTAAGCTTCAAATCAGGTGCAGCTAAGTGTTTTAGGACTTCTTAATCCTCCTGTTGTCGTCTGCAGATGGCTGGCAACAGTCAGCACATATGTGTGCTGATCCATAAGCCGGAGCTTCAGAGACCTTTTAGTCTTGCAAACTGCAGTTTCCAAAGCTTACTGATATTTTGTAAAAAAATTGACTTTATAATGGTTTATGATTGCAATCTCAAAACCTGTCATGAATTAAATTAACAGCCCCATTAACTTAAATCATTTTGATATTTTACATATTGACATTTATACTTAGTATTGATGTAAATACTTAGGTTTTGGCTTAGTCCTCCTCTTAAATCTCTCTGTTTTGAACATACTGACAATATTTTACACCAGGGGTCTTCAACGTTTTCCAGGCCAAGGACCCCTAAACTGATGGAGAGATGGAGCAGGGACCTCCTAATTATATATACTGTATGAAAATTTGTTATATATATCAAACTAGTCCTATAGTCACTCTATTACAGATGGAGTAATTTAACAAAAGTAATTTCTCCAAGTGGAATACAACTTTCAGTCCAGCAGATATCGCTGCGGATACTGCGACGAGTCATTCATAAACAAAACATGGAGGAGACTGAGAAAATTTGCACAGCTCCATCACATTCCAAGTCAGATGTTTGGATGCATTTTGGCTTTAAAAACAAAATAAATATAACGCATGTAATTTGCAAAAGGGGAAATGTCAAACATTTGAATGCTTCCATTTCATTGGTTTAAAGGACCACTGAGGCCATGTAAATGGCACTGTTTAAGTTTTTTAAATCCTAAGCACTTTTTGTCGGTGTGTCCACTCCAGTAATAGTAATATTTGTGTCCAGTATTTGGTTTCATGGCAACACCTTCGATAGTCGTTTCAATAAATACAGCTATGTATGAATTCAGTTGCTTTCAGTTATGTATCAATTAAAGTCACTATCCAGATCACACACAGCCAGTCAGCCACTGGTAAGGGCTGTATTTTTTTCTTACAGTGTTCAGTGAAAATATCGCAATGCATCACAATATTTCAAGTATCGCGATGCATCGTGATAGGATCGCATCGTGGCATGTGAATCGTGATTCGAATCGAATCATGACTTCTTTGCCAATTCCCAGCCCTAGTGAATAAAACGTTGCCCACGTTGAAAGAGCTCCTGTGTGTCCCTGAATGTGTGCATTGATGACTGAAAGACATCCTCTGCCTCCATTAATCTATTTACTACAGTGTGTTGAATTCCTGTTAATGTGGATTTAAAGAAATTTCAATTAGTGGAATAAATTGGAGGGGGAATATAAAAAAAAAAAGTCTAATCAGCCAAAACTTTCGCGACCCCATGCAGTACCTTCAAGGACCTCCTAGGGGCCGCGGACCCCCTGTTGAAGACCTCTGTTTTCGACAATATGTCTTTATCATAAAAGTTGCCAAAAGATAAGGTCAAGCAGATGAATAAAGATTCATTTTAGGTTCAAACAATTGTTTATTAAGGTGTGCTAATCTACCAAGATTATATCTTTAACCCTTTAAAGCCCGATCCAAGAATAAAACAAAACAGAAAGTAACTTTTTTTTGGTTTGAATTCCTTATTTGCCCTTTTAACAAAATATGTAAAAAGAAAAAACAGAAATAGATTTTTGATATAAATAATTTATTACTATGCGATAAGTCAAGATTATTTTTTTGTGTGGTCTTCTGCCCTCTGTTATCAGGTATATCTGATTGTGTACAATAGGATTTTGAGCAAAGTTTTTACCATTAATTTATGCAAAAGGTGTCAGACGCAAAACATTTCAGAAACAGTATGTATCAAATACGATACATTTGGCATTACAGGGTTAAAATGAACTGAATAACTAGAAATAATAAAGATAACTAGAATTGATTAGAAAGATAATTGATAGCTGCAGTCATATTCTTTAGTAAGCAGAGATACTCTGATAAAAAACGACCAGCTTTTAATTAGGCTTAAACCTCATGATTAGAAGGTCAACTCCTAACAAAAACTAAATTTGATAAGTTGCAAAAGATACATCTTCCATGGTTAACTTTGTTAGCCAAAAACTAAAGGTGGACTGGTAGAGCTCAAAATCAATGGAAACAGTCTGCTAAGCCTGTTTAATAAAGTGTATCATATAAAGCAGGCTTCCCTTACGGCCACACTGCAAAAAAGCTAAATCTAGATAAGTCATTTTTTCTTAAAATAAGTGCATTTGTTCTTGAATTGAGGAGGTAAAAGAGAAATTTTGCCAATGGAACAAGACAATTTACACTTAAAATAAGAAAACACAATTGTATTGTCTTATTTCAAGTGCATATCATCTAATTATCTTAGTTTAAGAGTAAAAATACTCATTCCATTGGCTATTTCATTTACCTACTCAAATTAAGGGTGAATACACTTAATTTATGAAATTTTTACTTATTTCTAGATTGTTTTTGCAGTGCAGCACTGATTGGAAATTAGAAAAGCAGTTCTGTTAAGCCTTTTTCCAGTTAGTAGGTCAGTTTTAAATAGGAATCTGCTTCATGTTTGTTGTTGCAATCGGATCGCATTCTGGGCTCAGGGTACAGTTCAGGGGGCATTAGTGGGGGGGTGGGGGTGGTGGGGTCTACAAGAGCCAGCGAACCTTCAGTCTTTCCAGGATGCAAGCGCCCAGCTAGAACCAGCAAGCCTGCACTCCCCACATGTACTTTGATCTGTGATCTGCTTAGTGGGGGGTGGTGTTAAATTTTTATGGAGCCTTTTTGCCACATGGTCACCATTTAGGAACAAGTGCAGTTTTTACTTCTGGTCTTGCTTTAGATGTTTTTTTTTTTGTTTTTGTTTTTTTAATTGCACTGCAAAAACAATCTGAAATTAAGTAAAAATGTATTAAATCAAGTATATTTACCCTTAATTTGAGCAGGAAAATAAGATAATTTGCCAATGAAATGAGTATTTTTACACTTAAAATAAGATAATTAGAAAATATGCACTTAAAATAAGACTAAGCAATAATTTTTTCTTATTTCAAATGTAAATTGTCTTGTTGGCAAAGTGTCTCACTTACCCCCTCAATTCAAGAAAAAATGCACTTATTTTAAGAAAAAATGACTTATTTAGATTTACATTTTTTGCAGTGTGTATATGGAGTGAATTCTGTTCCATTCTGTTTGAAGAACAGCACTGGAAAAACAATCTAGAAATAAGTAAAAATGTTTTAAATTAAGTGTATTTACCCTTAATTTGAGTAGGTAAATGAGATAGTTTGCCAATGGAATGAGTATTTTTACTCTTAAAATTAGATAATTAGTAGTGCTGTCAATCGATTAAATTTTTTAATCGCGATTAATCGCATCAATGCCTGAGTTAACTCGCGATTAATCGCATTTTAATCGCACATTTTTTTTCCTGATTGAAAATCATTTAAATACTCTCGATGACATACAAAAAAATACATACAGGCTAGGTTTGTGCCAATGTTCTTTTTTTAAAATGAAAACAGGTCACAGATACTGATTTATGCCATAGAAACATATGGCAAGAAGATGGGGAGGCATGTAGCAAAAAATAACAAATATGTAGGCAAAAAAAAGGCCCTGAAAACAGGCTGATGTAAAAGACAGTCTTTACAGTTAATACAGTCTTTTGAACAAAGACAAGCATTTTACCCTACTGCTATAAAATGTAGTACAGTTAACATTAGATGTTAATTAACCAAGATAATAATGAACAAAGTTACTTTTCAGCCTCTTAACAAAAATGAGAACACACACACACCCACTCACCCACACACAGACATACCCACCCACACACACACACACACACACACGATACCGACAAGAGTGCCGTAGCAGATTCCATTTCACCTCAGTAATCTTTTTTCTCAGCGTATTTCAGGTTGCTACTAGTTACCAGACACTCAACTTGTTTGTTGGTGGTGGGGCTTAAAGAAAAGGCACTAGCGTCACCCAGTGTATGAGCGTCTTTTTTCCTTGAGGAGCTCCGCTGTCGAAGCCTATGAGAAATTCATACACTGGGGGAAAATAGCCCCGCCTTCTCGCAGGCTGCAGCGGGATGTACTTGGAAAATTGTACCATAAAACCACATAGCGTTAATCTCACGTTAAAAAAATTATCGCCGTTAAAATGGCCTTGCGTTAACGCGTTAATAACGCGATAATTTTGACAGCACTAATAATTAGATAACATGCACTTGAAATAATACAATTCAATTAAGTTTTCTGATTTTAAGTGTAAATTGTCTTGTTCCAATGGCAAAATGTCTCTTTTACCTACTCAATTCAAGAACAAATGCACTTATTTTAAGAAAAAATTATGCACTTTAAATAAGAAAATGCCATTGTACTTTCTTATTTTAAGTGTAAATTGTCTGGTTCAATTGGCAAAATTTCTCTTTTACCTTCTCAATCCAAGAACAAATACACTTATTTTAGGAAAAAATTACTTATCTAGGTTTCGATTTTTTCCAGTGAGAACACTTTGTTAAAGGAAATTTGAAATTCTTGATAAAAAAAAAAGGTTTTGATTGTAACTTTGCTGTTTTCTTAGATTTTGAAATATTTTTTTCAAGATGTATTTTCAGATGCTTTTGTTCAGATTTAGTTTTAGGAATTTTATTCTTTTCAAATTATATTTTTTAGATCACATCCTCTTCACTACTCGGGGGGTTCCTCAGGAGTTAGGAGAGAAAACGCATTTCTGTTGGTCTAGATGGACGTTAGAAACAATGTTCTGGTTGGTCAAAAGGATCCAATTCAAAAACTATGATCTGAAAAACATAAATAAAAAAATTAGAATAATAAATCTGTAAAAAAAAAAAAGAAAAAGAAAATTTGTAAAAAAAATAAATAAATAAATAACAAAAAGTATATATACAGTGTGCATATTTTTATGTATGTATAGATAATGAAATATGAGAAAACAGCAGAGTTAGGCTAAATTTCTGGATCGCATTTTTTTTTTCTATACATTTACAAAAGATTTTCTTCACTTGCAAAATAATAGAACAAAATTCGCTCCATAATTTTGCAATAAATAACAACTAGAATGAAAAGGGACCCCAACAATGAGTCACATCTTTGCACAATTTAGCTTGGTTTTGCCTTCAGGCCTCAGAAAAACATAGATATCAGACAAAGAAACCTCAAAATATCAATCAGAAAGACAAAAAAAAAGATCAAAGTATGGATAAATAGCAAGTATGGGCCTCATCAGACCAACATCAGGCCTAAGGAAGAACTATAATCTATCTAAGGCTTAACAGACCCCATCGGACACATCTTTAATGATGAACAAAGAGGGGGTGCAGGAAGGTGTCTGTATGCTGTGTTGCCCACAATCAGTGGCCATCTGGCAGACAGCTCAGCTCTGTGTTCCCCCTCCAGGCATCGGTTTGTGATACGGACCGGCCCACAGGGGAAGGGTCGGAGTCAGATGTGTAGCCAATTATTGATCTGTTTGTGTCTGAGCTGTTAGGGGGAGATTTAATGTTAAATAAAGATGTTATTCAGGCTGATGGTGTCGTTTTGTGGAGGCTCAGTAATTAGGATAATAATCAGTTGGCTGAACCTGACAGATTATCACATTATCCCCATTTAAACTGTTCTGCTGCTGCTGCACACACTCATTTTGTCATTTTTCTGTCTCCTCTATGTCCCTAATGGCACTTTATCACCTCAGACCCTCATGCAGGTGAGTAAGCCTTCATTTGTTTTGCTTTCTGGGTTTTGATTATTTTTCTGGAGGCTTTGGGGTCAGTGAATGCATACGGAAGAGGATTAGGGCCACTGGAAAAATAAAATAAAAAAGTTAACAGATTTTTTTTATTTTATTTCAGTATAGTATGGGAAAAAAATTCTGAGATTAAAGTCAGAATTCTGAGAAAAAAGTCAGAATTCTGACTTTAATCTCAGAATTCTGACTTTTTTTCTCAGAATTCTGACTTTTTATTGTCAGAATTCAGTCAGAATTCTGAGATTAAAGCCAGAATTCTGAGAAAAAAGTCAGAATTCTGGCTTTTTTCCCATGTTAAACTGAAATAAAATTTAAAAATCAGTTAACTTTTTTTTTTTTTTTTTTTTCCAGTGGCCCTAATCCTCTTCCGTAGATGCAGACCTGCATCTCAACCTGAAGTCTGCGACTTCTTCCACTGTGTTTTGACAAGCTGTATTTAAACTCTGGAATCCATTAGGGCATGCAGAAGTGGATCTTGAATCATTTATAATGCACAATCAGAAGCCAAACTTAGTTTGAGTGGCCTACATAGAGCTTTGAGGTTAGATCTACCAATGCAGAGAGTAACTATATAAAAGGGGCTCAAAGGGTTTAGATTTATGTTATAAAACTGTCAGTTTAGAGATATTGTGTACATTTTTATAATCTTCAATCACCTGCAGTAATACTTAATAAGTCTTATGTAAGTCTTTAAAGGATTAAGAGCAGCCGCTATGTCATACAAGGAAAAAATAGAAGGAAGTGGGAAGAAAGTTAAGCTCTAAAGGCAAATATTGTTACTGCTGCAGAGAAGGAAGAGGCTCTCAAATGTCGGTGCTGTTTATTTTTAATCTGGGTTTAATGGAGAAGTCCTGTTTGATGCTACAGCTCCCTACTATTCCTGCTCATTCAGAGTTATTTTTACTGCTTGAAGCTGCACGTCGATGTTTGAAGGAAACAATGACTGAATATTTTAGCTCATACGTCGTGTCCTTTGTTTTATTCATTCCTTACTTAACATGACTTGGCTGTAGTATTGAATACAAAGGAGTCACTAATGACGTACAACAACAAAATGGAAATTATAGCATCTCTGAAAATCTTTTAAACCTTCTGAATGTTTTAATTTGTTTTAAAGTGCAAGCTTGGTTTAAATGGATAAAGTGGAACTGAGTAAAGCTTGGAGCTTCATTAAATAAGACCAGATTTCCTAACAGTAATTTAGTTTTATTCCTAGTGTCCTCTCATTGATCTCTTGGTTTAATTACTTAGATTTTCTTTGAGATTTTTTTTCCTTCAACTTTACAGGGTTGTGGGACAATAAAGCAATTTTCTATTCTATTCTAAAAGTTGTCTGGAAATGTCAGAAATTCAAGCTTTTTTCAAGTCTGCTTAAGACTGGGAGGAATTCTCGAGTATAATTAAAAAAGAATAGAGAATGGAAATATCCATCCATCCTTCCATCCATTCATCCTTCCATCCATCCATCCATCCATTCATCCATCCATCCATCCATCCATCCTTCCATCCATCCATCCATTCATCCTTCCATCCATCCATCCATCCATCCATCCATCCATCCATCCATCCATCCATCCATCCATCCATCCATCCATCCATCCATCCATCCATCCATCCATCCATCCATCCATCCATCCATCCATCCATCCATCCATCCATCCATCCATCCATCCATCAAATGTTTAGATTTTGTTAATATCTGTACAAAACCAGGGGCGGGGGATCGGTGTACATTCAGCTTTTTAATTTTTTTATTTAATGAAACCAAAATAAAAAAAACACAGCAAAGTTTTTCAGTTTTTTTAGTATTTCTGTTTGTATTTTTTTTTTTACTTGCCCAAAATGGGAAAAAAAAAACCGAACCAGTGCTAATTTTTACTTTACCTTTTTTTAATGAGATAACTGGCCTGGAACCATGAATATCTACGCATCATTCATTCATTCATCATCAATTTTTTTATTTTATTTAAAACCATTCTCCATTCTTATCACTTACTGTGATAAGAATGGAGAACTGTACTTTTCTTTTTTTTAATGTATTGCTATACTGATTTAGATATATAATAAAACTAGAAAAAGAGCATATACTTTCTTTTTTTATTTCATTTTGGTCTCTTATAGCATCCCACCATCCCAGCTTTTCAGATGAACAGTCCACTTTTCAATTCTAAATCCACCTCCACAAAATAAAAACAATATCAAATCAGTTAAAAAATAAAGTAATTAGTAGATTTACGAGATATATTTGGATGAATATTCATGTTGATGCTTCAAACGTCAGTGTCCTTTAAAAAATATATATATATATATATCTTTGTTATATGTCTAATACAGGTGAAGACGCACCTGTTTGCAGCAAATCTGGATTCTCCATCTGATCTTATTTATTCTTTTTTTTGCTCTGATCAGACAAGCTTGTTCTGATTGTTAAAGACAAGATAGATTATGATAGATTCCTTTCAAGACGCTCCCTGACTCTGCAATCTCAAACTGAATCCTTCTTTCTATTTTGTGGGGCAGCTGGAACACCGCTGTGAACCTGTGGAGCCTCTGCACCTAGTTTTTGCAGTTCAGTGCTCAAAATTATTCTAATATTGGATAAATGATTAAATAACATCATACATCTTTATATTAACATTAAAATAAATAGTACCTGTAGTATTTTTCAAGTTATAAATGGGAGAAGACAGCTAGTACGACAATATTAAACGTATTAGGCTAATTATTCATTAGTTGCTACAATAAGTGTTAATGCTATGATTTCTAAATGGATGGAAGATTTACATCTGCAAATTTTTCTAAGCTGCTGTTGAATTTTTTTTTACTCAAGCGTCTTTATGTTTCTCCTGTCTTTTGTTATTTTTTTTTTCTGCTTGGGCATCATTAAACTATTGATACTTCAGAATTCTGAGAAAAAAGTCAGAATTCTGACTTTTTTCCCATACTATACTGAAATATGAAATAAAAAAAAATTTTAAAAATCAGTTAACTTTTTTTTTTTTTTTCCAGTGGCCCTAATCCTCTTCCGTACAGATTATACACCGACTGCAGAGAAACTGTTAATTCAACTTGGCAAAAAAACAGAAAAAAAAGAGAGCTAGAAATATTCACATGAAGATGTAGGGACATCTAAAGCTTAATTATTTCAAGTGCGGTGAAGAAAGTTGTGCGTCTTTGTTAAGCATTAAAAAAAGAGGCCTCTAATCCATTTAGGTCTTTGGGGCTTCCATAAAATCTAATTTATCCAATTTAGGTATTAACCTGAGCCTGATGGTTTTGTTTCTTTCTTGTTTTCTTTTTTCTGTAAGCTTTTACGATCAATTCAAGCTCTGATATTGGATCAATTTATAGACGTCTGCCAGAGTGACACTTAATGGGCTTCCAGGTGATACAGTCCCTGCAGCAGATTGAGAAATCAGTGCTGCCAACTGGACAGGATGCGAGGTGTTTGTTCCGGCCTGGCAGCGCGGTCTGCAGGCTGACAGCAGCAGCAGGTGGATGATGTATCACCGCACACTGACTGCATCATTCCATGTTCCTGCTTGTTCATGCCTGCCGCTCCACAGTTTTCCTTGTTTTGCCTATAACGTTCTTAAGCCTCTCGCTTGTTAAATAATTCACTCGTGCTCTTATTGGTCTGTGTGATGTCGGCCCGTTAAAAATAGATGATGATTGTTGTAGAGCTGGAGAGTTTTCAGAGCAGCGTACAGTGCTTCTCCTGTTTCTGATGTCCTTCCCTTTTAACAGTGAAGGTAAGCTGCTTTGAATTTAATATTTTCCTTTTTTTTTACCTGATCTAATGTGATGTGAAACAAACCGGGTCCCTGTTAGCAGTAGATGTTAAATGAAGCTTGCTGAGACTTTTTGTTTTTTGTTTGGTGGTCTTGGCTTCCTTCCAGGGGAGATTCTTGCTGTGTCACCATGGTGGTGTTGGAGGAGGCGTTGAAAAAGTTGTACAACTGATTCAAGCCTACTTGTTTTTTGGGTCAAGAGCAGCTGAAGTGTTGAGGTGTCAATAGGAATGTTTGGAGGTAGCGACAGCTGTATGGTAATTAGCTGTAAACCTGAGGTGCATGCTGCCGTGGTCAGAGCTTCAGTGGCGGTTCAATCGCTCCGCTGTTAGAAAGTGGAGAAAGACATGATCCTGTCGTCAGGCTCCGTCTTTGGATTTGTGTTTATGCAGATTTTTTCCTCATGTTTCTGTTTGTAAAGATTTTTTAATGTTGCTGAAAAACATCCATCTTTTAAAAATGAAGATCTTTTCCTGGTGGAATTGCAGCTTGGTGGGTGGACTTTTTCACTTTTCTTATATCTAGACACTGTTTAACTCTATTCTAATGATTTAGAAAAACTTTTTTCATCCTTTATTTGTGTCTGTATGATTTTATACTATTATTAACTTTCATATTAAACCCGTCTTTTATTCATTTACTGAAATATTCCTATAGAACATCTGTTTCAACTTTTAAAACCAGCAATATACACTGTGAAAAACTATAAAATTTGACAAAATAAAAAAAAACAAAGCTAGCAATTTGCAATCAGATAAGTAAAAAATTAACTTAGATTTGATTAAAAAGTATGTAATTTCAAAAGCTATAAAACACCAAGACATAATAGTTATATTGTACCCAACACTTTAATCTATTAATCCAGAAAAGTTCACATGCATGACAAATCCTCATAGTTTTATTTAGAATACACTCATGTAAACTACACAATTGGTGCATTTTAAACGTTCTATGTGTGCAGATTTATTACTATAAGGCCCCAGTTCTATCACAAGCATGACTCTATGCTTCTTCTCTGTGCTCCTCTTGCATTTTATGCAGCTCTAGATTTTCTCCTGATCACCTTTTGATCTGTTTCTGTGGCTCTTGTCAACTTTTGTCACTTTGAGGGTGAAACAGACCGGAGAAAGAAATCCGCCTGTGATTGGCTACTTTACAGGAAATCCCGCCTCTTGAGACAGTAGCGTTTTCTTCATAGACATTAAGAAGTACCCATTGGACGCTGCTGTCTGAATAAATAGGAGGAACCTCACATCTCATTTTAAACACATGGAAGACGAGTCAAAGATAATATCCCAATAATCTCTTACCGGTATATGTTACGACCCCTTAAAATTTCAAAAACATAATATAATGACATTTTATTTATATTAAATATACAGAATCAAAACAGGTTTAACTGAAATCAAAGTGGATGAGATATAAACAGTACATGCAGTTATATATTTTGCAATTTAATATTAATATGACAAACACAAACAAATATATATATTAGGGGTGGAACGGTTGACAAAATCCACGGTTCGGTTCGGTTCACGGTTTCGTGATGGTCACGGTTTTCGGTTCAGTTCGGTATATGTTGATTATTACACCAAAATCCCATAAAATGTATGTAATTAATGAAAAAATCCAAAAAAATTAATGAATTGTAATTATTTTTAATGATCCGCGGTAATCCTGGTACATTTCCGCATGTTTTGCTGCTTTGAATTTAATCATCTGGCGCATGCCCTCTACAATCTCCAAGGAACTCAGAGCGGAGCGGACGGGAGCCACAGCGGAGGCTGTATGCTGTGCTTTGCCCAGGCGGTCTGGAGCGCAGTGGGGCGGAGCGCTGATGGAGTATGAGGGATTTCGGGGTTAGCATGACATGTTGGTCGTGTTGCTGTTAGCATAAACAAAACGTGTTGCACAATGCTTGCACACTGTTGCACTTTTATCCACAACTTTCTTTCCGCCGTCATCGTAGGTCACTCTAAACTCTAAATGCAAAGTGGTCCCATACAGCAGAGCTATAAAGTGCTGCTGGCGCGTCTTCCAACTCCTGTTCTTTCCCACTCGCCATACCCACACAATTCTCCACAACAACTGATTTTTTTCTGCTACACCCGGTTACGCGGCTTCGCTTCTTCTTCTTCTTGTTTACTGCTGGTGGTTGGCTTTGGTCGCAGTACTGCCACCTTCTGCTCTGGAGTGTAAACGCTTCGCCTATGAGAAAAAGGAGCAGCGCATGAACCGAACGAAACACATGCGAACCCAACCGACACAGTTTTCATAAACCGTTCCATCCCTAATATACTGTATATATATATCAAAATATATAATACACTTTTCAAAAATCAGGGCATTTTATGCACTTTTCTCTGCTTCCATCCCTGCTATGCATTAACACATACAGTATTGTGCTGATGCCAGGAAACTGTGAAACATGAGGAAAACCTGTCATAAAATGCTACTTCTGGATCTTGTTTGTGGTCTCCTTTTATTTATGAACCTATACGTGGAATAAAAGTCGGGCATCCTGAGAGAAAGCTCTGGGAGTTTTCTAACTGTCAATACAAAATCAAAATAATGATAATTTCTATGACTCATTTGGTGCCATGTTGCCACTGAAACGTTGCAGTTCTCAGTAAACCATTTATCTGGAAATCGGTTAAAAGTTCACCAGATTCGGTGTCTGAATTAATAAAGTAACATATGCCTCAATAGACGTGTACTGTTTCCGTCCGCTTGGTCTGACCCAAGATGGCCGCTCTGTCGGCATGGCTCTCACCCGATGAGGCGGGGTCTATCGAGGTCTATGGTTTTCTTCCTGGTTGCAGCTAGTAACTTCTCGCCTGCACTTTTTAGTGTAAAGGAAAGTTACAGTAGTTCAGTACAGTAGTTTACATAGACAAAATGTCCTGTTCCGAACAAAATTTATTCAAAAAGCAAAATTACTTAAAATACAGCATGTTTATTAGTAAATAGAAAACATTTTATAATTAAGAACTTATATACAGTAAAAGAAAAAGATGCCAGTTTGTCTAAAGTGTATAATGCTCAGCACATAGATTGAAAGCTGTTGGTAATCTAGAAGACAAAATCTATAACTGCAGCCTCTTTGCTGCAGAACAGGGTTTTTTATTCTTTGTTGATCATTGATTTTCCTGATTTAAATCCTTTTCTTTCTGCAGGATTTTTCATATGACGACTCAAAGGTGGAGTTTAACGTGGACGCCCCTAATGGCGTGGTGATGGAGGGCTACTTGTTCAAAAGGGCTAGCAATGCCTTCAAGACCTGGAACAGGTAAGCGCCATGACTAAAACTGAAAACCGTGTTGGATCAACTTCATTTAAAGGTGGACATTGGTTGCACACCGACCCTGTTTGTTGTGTAAATTTAAAATTAATTGGTGGTTTCACCTCAACACAACTCGATCACTTCCTTATGTAACCATTTGATCAATAAAAACTCAGAACTGAGGGTTTAGGCGATAGATGACATTTTATGGTTTGATCCCACAGCCTGTGGCTTATTGTAGGAGTCTCCTAACCCTGTAGATATCCATGCTGTAAAAGTAGCGTTGTTGTATGTAGAAAGATGGTAGGTTTAGGGGTGTTAATCACATCCATCATGGCGATTCGATTCAGTATCGATTTTCTGACCCAAAGATTCGATTATTTTCGATATTCAAGAATACACCACGATACGAATGGATTCGATTCATTGGTTCATTTTTTTTTTTTTTTTTTTTACCTTACAGGCTAGACAATGTTTCAATTTTGAATTTTATCAATGAAAGCTTTAATATCGTTATGCATTTAATTTGAGAAACAACAGCAAATAACAGAGGTAGAAAAGTTGTACTCCATAATGCCCCTGCGTTATAGATTCTGAAAGGCTTTGCATCAAAAAAAAAAAAAAAAAAACTTCTCTTTTTACTGTTACAGGCGGTGGTTCTCCATTCAGAACAATCAGCTGGTCTATCAGAAGAAGTTGAAGGCAAGTGCTTATTTATTTAACCCTTAGCAAAAGTAGTATACTTCAAGTTAATTTTATTAAGTATAGATGATCATAAGGATAAGTTTAGCAAGTATATTAGGAACCATCTAGTGTTCTTCAAAATATACTCATTTAATAGTTTTGGGACTAAATTAAAGCATTCTTGTTACAAAAGGTATACTTAAAGCATACTGGTACATGGTCAAATCCAATATTCAAGTATGCAGCAAGTACACTCATTGTTATACTACTAGTGTAAAAATTTTAGTTTATTGAAGTATATTTGAAGTATAATACACTTGTACATTTCTTATTCCATACTTCAGTCAATATATTTTAAGTATCAGTGCTTTGTGGCATAATTAAGTAAAATTATACAAATACGTTTCTGTATTTAAGTATAAGGTTAACTAATGGTGTTAAAATCCTTAGTTTTGATTTATATTTATACTTTTTTGTAGTATACTCCTCTATTGTGTTCTTATATATGTTAAATATATGTATATATATATATGAAAAATACATTATAACAAGGTAAAAATCAAGTAAACAGACTTGCCTTTAGTATATGCCGAGGGACGCCATCAGTTCTCTCTGTAAAAGGTAAAATTTTAAATTTTGAAGTATTTATTTTTGCAGAAATCTGTGTCTGATGCTGTGGAGAGAAATTCTAATATTTTTTCAGATAAAATATTGAGATGCAAGCAATTGTTTTGTGAGATGAGGATTAGTGGATCCCGGTTAAGATCCTGGTAAAGATAAAGGGAATATCTGAGCTGTTGGGAATCTTCTGAAATTAATTTTAACTGACAAAAAGCTCATCACTTGTTAGGTAAACGGAAATTTCCTTTTGCAGAAAGAATCAGGTATATGCAGCTGCTGTTTCAGGTAGACAAATATAACACTTTTTTTTGTGAACAGGATGTACTTACGGTGGTAGTAGAGGATCTCCGATTGTGTTCTGTAAAACCATATGAGGACATCGAGAGGAGGTTCTGCTTTGAGGTCGTCTCCCCCTTCAAGTAAGGCATTTACACTGAAAACTGTAAGCTTTGATTTGTTTAAAGATGGCACCATTTAGTGAAAGAATTCCCTAGTTTCTGGCCTGTACTTGAAACAATTCTCTGCTGGGTAAATATCCAAGTTAACATGAGTCAGTAAAAAAATCAAACTAAATGACTTCCTTAGAGCTTTGTAGTTTCACATGTCAGACCTCCAGCATACAGCTGGCCAGCAGCACTGGAAATCCCAGCAGAAAGCTCTCTGCTGCAGGCCAACCTTTGGGGGATTCCTCATTGCCATCAATAGCTGGAAGTGAATATAAAGAGTTTTTAAGGTTTGTGGTAAAAACTGCAAAGTTTTGCAGGTTTTACAGGGTTTCTGCAGGTCATTAAAAACCATTAAAAGTCATTAAATTGTAATTTTTAAAATTAAGGCCTTAATTGGCATTAAAATTCATTAAATTTGATTATCGTGGCATTTAAAATGCTTTATAAAAAAAAAAAGTTAATAAAAACAATTTTGTCAGATATTAATATATTGCGATATGTTTGCGCAGAACTGTCTCTGGTTGATCGTAAAGCCGTATGTTTGGGAAAAAAGCTCGAGGCGGAGAAAAAGTTAGAGAATTGGAAAATGCAATTTTCAATAAAAGTGACAGGAAAATGACGATTTCGGGACATGGCTGCAGCCTGTCCATCGTAAATATGACAAAAGATTTTGCCGTATTTATATGAGCGTCATGGGTAGTTGTTGATGGCATTAAAATACCTGAGTGAAGTTGGCCCCCCCACCTTCTTCAAATCAGACAAAATTAGTGTCAAACGTTTGTGCAGCAAAAATTTTCGTTTGTGCCGCTATCGTTTTAGGATATAAAGAAATATTTCTAGGTGTCTGACCTGAGTGAAGTTGCTCCCCCCCCCACCTTCTTCAAATCAGATGTAATTAGTGTCAAACTTTTGTGCTACGTTTGTCTGGTTTGTGCAGCAAACATTTTCGTTTGTGCTGCTTTAGATTTGAAGATATTAATGAAAATGTAAAGGTCAAAAGGTCAACTAGCCTTCCCACCTTATTCAAATTAGACAAAATTGGTGTCAAACGTTTGTGCTACGTTTGTGCAGGAAAAATTTTCGTTTGTGCCGCTATCGTTTTAAAGATATAAAGAAATATTTCTAGAGGTCATCAAAGGTCAACCAGCCCCCCCACCTTATTCAAATCAGACGAAATAGGTGTCAATTAACTCGGCTCCGTTTGAGCTGGTTTGTGCAGCAAAAATTTTCGTTTGTGCTGCTTTGGATTTGAAGCTGGTTGACCTTTGATGACCTCTAGAAACATCTCTTTATATCTTATAAATGAAAGCGGCACAAACGAAAATTTGTGCTGCACAAATGTAGCAGAAATGTTTGACACCAATTTTGTCTAATTTGAAGAAGGTGGGGGGGCTGGTTGACCTTTTGACCTTTATATTTTCATTAATATCTTCTAAGCCAAAGCAGCACAAACAACAATATTTGCTGCACAAACCAGCTCAAACGGAGATGAGTTAATTGACACCCATTTTGTCTGATTTGAAGAAGGTGGGGGGGCCAACTTCACTCAGATCATTAAAATTATTTCTAAGAGCATTAGAAGAGCATTAAAAAGCATTAGATAAGAGTTACTCATTCCTGTATAAACCCTGTTTTAACATTTCTAGTTAATGTGGGTATTTATAAACTCTTCCGCCATAGTTCATAAAAATGTTTTAGTGCAGCAATAATGATCAGAGCTCACTCTCTGTTCCTCCTAACAATCCATTCTTCCAGCTTTTATTTTAAACCTTTGGAGTTTAACTCCCTTAATATTTATTTTTTCATATTCAGAAGCAACAACAGCTTACATGCAGTGTCTGTCTCCGCAAAAAACTCCTGTGTCAGCTTTTCTGACGCTCCAGCTTCCAGCGACAAAAGTTCAATTTTCTAAACTCTGGACGTCGTCGACTTTGCATGTAAATCAGAGGCTTAGATTCCGAAAAACGCACCCAGTCTGAACGCAACAGTTTTTTTGGAAAACATTTGGTTCCTCCATTGGTGTGGCTCCAAGTTTTGTTTTTTCAATGTTTTCTTTTTTAACTCTGGAATTGGTTGCTGTACATATAAAATGATTTTTGACAATATGTTCTCATTTTTTTACATTTTGTTGTGATGCATAACCATGGCAACCACGGCCACAGAAGCAAGTTGTTTTGTAAGACCCAGGAAGGGCTCTGTATCGTCTCAAAATATGAATTATACTTGCACAACTTCTACTTACAACTCTTTAAAAAAACAACAACTATTAAGTTACATTTAGTTTTCATTAGGGATGCACGATATTGGGATTTTGGCCGATATTTTAAAACTCATGTATCCGATAACCGATATTGATACCGATGTTAAAGCTGGACAAAAATAAGTAGTCATTGAAAATAGCAGTTTTGTTATCCATTTCTGACACTTTGAAAAATAATATACTCAAATATATTTTCATATGCTGATATCAAATTGATTTTTAAAAACGCGGTATCGATCTATTTTACTTTCAAAATCTCGTGAAATTTCATCGTTCTGTTACAAACTCTCGTGATATTTTGCCAATTCTTGTGAGATTTTGTTAGTAAAATAGATCGATACCGCGTCAATATATCAACATATAAAAATATGGCAAAATTTCGTGAATTTTAGGGGGATTTCGTAGCATAACGATGACATATAGCAATATTTCATTAGTAAAAGAGATTGATATGGTGTTTTTAAATGGCGATATATCAGCATATGAAGATATTATGATATTTTTTCCCTCGTCTTTAGAAGTTTTTAAGTCTGTAAAAAATAAGTTTTTGAGAAAGAAGAAGAAGTAGTATTTTTTTTATTTTTTTTTTAGACTTTAGAAACTCAGAAGCTGATCAAATATCGGGTTAAATATCGGTGGGGTGGCCGATGTCGGATATTCAGTTTTAAAGGAATAGTACACCCAAAACATGATTAGCCTTCATTTTCTACTCACCCTCATGCTGAACAACACTCTGGAGTACTTTTTTGATATCTCAAATGCATCTGGAGATCTGGGAGGCTTCTTGCTGGCTGCTGACCTTCAAATAATGGAGGTCTATGGCGCCCGAGGCAGAAAGGTCCATAAAAGTCCACAAAAAACGTGTCAATATTCCTCCATACTGCTCATCCAATGTATTCCAAGTGTCCTGAGTGGGTAGCGTCCATAATTTACTCGAAACAAAGTCAGTTAGAATGTTTTTAGAGCATAAACAGTAGTGTATAGGATTTCCTAAAAGTGCGCACATGCGCGTTCACGACGCTACGGAAGCCGGCAGACCAAACCAGATGAAAGTGCGCATTCAGCGTCTGCTCTGCCGATAATGCAAGCGTAGAAGAAGAAATGTGCTGTTTACCTGTGCAAAGAAAGAAACAATGAAAGAAAAATGTCTGAGGACTTCAGTGTTGAGGAAGAGCATGAGTTCTTTGCCGAGCTGAATGTGCACTTTCATCTGGTTTGGTCTGCCGGCTTCCGTAGCGTCGTGAACGCGCATGTGCGCGCTTTCAGGAAATCCTATACACTACTGTTTATGCTCTAAAAACATTCTAAATGACTTCGTTTCGAGTAAATTCTGGATGCTACCCACTCAGGACACTTGGAATACATTGGACGAGCAGTATGGAGGAATATTGACACGTTTTTTGTGGACTTTTATGGACCTTTCTGCCTCGGGCGCCATAGACCTCCATTATTTGAATGTCAGCAGACAGCAAGAAGCCTCCCAGATCTCCAGATGCATTTGAGATATCAAAAAAGTACTCCAGAGTGTTGTTCAGCATGGGGGTGAGTAGAAAATGAAGGCTAATCATGTTTTGGGTGTACTATTCCTTTAAGGCCGATACCGATAGGGGGCAGATTATATCGTGCATCCCTAGTTTTCATATCTATAAAAAACAATTTGAATTGAAGCAAATGAGTGAACTTTTGACCCACCATCCATCTGTTTAAGCATCATAATAATAACCAGCCTTGTTAGCTTCTAGTTGAAATTTCAACATGCGCCGACCAACCAACAGAAGGATTTAAAACTGTCTTGTCCTACAGGAGCTGTATGCTTCAGGCTGAGTCTGAGAAACTTCGACAAGCTTGGATTCAAGCAGTTCAAGCTAGCATTGCTTCAGCCTACAAAGAAAGCCCAGACACGTACTACATCGAGGTGAGTCACCATTTGTGGTCATGCAATGAAACTTTTACATGTTGTTTATGAGATTTTTCCTTGTTTATGTTTTAAGGCTGTTTAACACATTACCCTAATTACTTTAATCAGGTACAGTTTGACTCCTCCTGGCTGCCTTTTTGTCCGACATTCATATTCTGTCCATTTTCAGCACCTGGACAGAACAGCCTCTCCGTCCACCAGCAGCATTGATTCAGCCAGTGAGCCGCGGGAGCGCAGCGCCAGGCCTGAAACGATCCTGCAGCGCATCCAGAGTCTGCCAGGGAATGAGCAGTGCTGCGACTGCAGTCAAGCTGACCCACGCTGGGCCTCGATCAACCTGGGCATCCTGCTGTGCATCGAGTGCTCCGGCATCCACAGGTCGGACACAGAAGAAAACACAGACAGCATCCAACCTGTCTTAACAAGACAAAAAAAATGGCTGTACCTATCAAGTATTTTATGTTATTGATAAATCAAGTCAATATTTTTATTAATCTAAAAAAAAAAAAAAAAATGCGTAAAAAAACATTTTTTGGCATTTAGAAAAAAACCAAACTTTATTGCACATTTTCTTAAGTTCCCCACTAAGTATGTAATTATTTAGGAAGTGGCATACTTTATTGTCTGCTTAAGATGAATCCTGGTAACAATTTGATTACTAAATTAATTGATTTACTAATTGCTGATCATTTTGTTTGCAACAACCTGCTGGAAATGCATGTTTTGTTTGCAGTTTGGTTGCTTTTGTTCCGACTTGTTGCATATGCATACTCCCTTGGGATCAGACGTGATCTTGCGTCACAATACACTTTTCTTCCTACTACAGAACCGTTGCCTGGATACTAGACACTCATTTGCATCACTATAGGAGTCTGGAATACCACTTCACACTTTTTGAGTAGTTTCCCGCAAAAAACAGAATATACGACTAATCTGCTTACCTTCCTTTATTCAAATTAGTAGAAAAGAGGAATAAATGCTGCTTTTCTGTCACTAAATCTGCTGTCACCTGCTTCTTCATGGTAAATTATTGAAAGTTTTTGCTAATTTGTATATAATACATTATATATAATCTGTTTATTGCACCTTATACTTATTTTATTTTACTTGTACTTTAACCAATGCTGTTTATTTATAAATGTTTATATTGCATTTATATTGCATTTGATGTATATATATATATATATGTATATATATATATATATGTACAGTATATATATGTGTATATATATATGTATATATATATGTGTATATATATATATGTGTATATATGTATGTATATATGTGTATATATATATATATATATGTGTATATATGTATATATATATGTATATATATGTGTATATATATATATATATATATGTGTATATACACTATATTGCCAAAAGTATTTGCTCACCTGTCTTGACTCACATATGAGCTTAAGTGACATCCCGTTCCTAATCCATAGGGTTCAATATGACGTCGGTCCACCCTTTGCAGCTAGAACAGCTTCAACTCTTCTGGGAAGGCTGTCCACAAGGTTTAGGAGTGTGTTTATGGGAATTTTTGACCATTCTTCCAGAAGCGCATTTGTGAGGTCGCACACTGATGTTGGACGAGAAGGCCTGGCTCTCAGTCTCCGCTCTAATTCATCCCAAAGGTGTTCTATCGGGTTGAGGTCAGGACTCTGTGCAGGCCAGTCAAGTTCATCCACACCAGACTCTGTCATCCATGTCTTTATGGACCTTGCTTTGTGCACTGGTGCACAGTCATGTTGGAAGAGGAAGGGGCCAGCTCCAAACTGTTCCCACAAAGTTGGGAGCATGGAATTGTCCAAAATGTCTTGGTATGCTGAAGCATTCAGAGTTCCTTTCACTGGAACTAAGGGGCCAAGCCCAGCTCCTGAAAAACAACCCCACACCATAATCCCCCCTCCACCAAACTTTACACTTGGCACAATGCAGTCAGACAAGTACCGTTCTCCTGGCAACCGCGAAACCCAGACCCGTCCATCAGATTGCCAGATGGAGAAGCGCGATTCGTCACTCCAGAGAACGCGTCTCCACTGCTCTAGAGTCCAGTGGCGGCGTGCTTTACACCACCGCATCCGACGCTTTGCATTGCACTTGGTGATGTATGGCTTGGATGCAGCTGCTCGACCATGGAAACCCATTCCATGAAGCTCTCTGCGCACTGTTCTTGAGCCAATTTTGAAGGCCACATGAAGTTTGGAGGTCTGTAGTGATTGACTCTGCAGAAAGTTGGCGACCTCTTCGCACTATGCGCGTCAGCATCCGCTGACCCCGCTCCGTCAGTTTACGTGGCCTACCACTTCGTGGCTGAGTTGCTGTCGTTCCCAAACACTTCCATTTTCTTATAATACAGCTGACAGTTGACTGTGGAATATTTAGGAGCGAGGAAATTTCACGACTGGATTTGTTGCACAGGTGGCATCCTATCACAGTTCCACGCTGGAATTCACTGAGCTCCTGAGAGCGACCCATTCTTTCACAAATGTTTGTAAAAACAGTCTGCATGCCTAGGTGCTTGAATTTATACACCTGTGGCCATGGAAGTGATTGGAACACCTGATTCCAATAATTTGGATGGGTGAGCAAATACTTTTGGCAATATAGTGTATGTATATATAGATGTGTATATATGTATATATATATATAGATGTGTGTATATATATATATATATATATATATATATATATATATATATATATATAGAGAGATGTTAATTTACTTTTTACCTCATTGTGTAAAGCTGATGCTACAGTGCAATTTCCCAGCTTTGCATAAATGAAGTCTGTCTGTCTATCTATATTTATCGATCTAATGTTTTAATGACAGTGAATTTTTGCATTTTTTTAATGCAGGAGTCTTGGCGTCCACTGTTCGAAGGTGCGTTCCTTGACCCTCGACTCGTGGGAACCAGAGTTATTAAAGGTATGGTTAATTCTTTGAACAGCTCAGCATGTTGGAGCCAGTTACAACGTCTATTTTATTTCCTCGCAGTTGATGTGTGAGCTTGGAAACAGCGTCATCAATCGCGTCTATGAAGGTTCCTACCAAGAGCAGGGTCTGAAGAAACCATCGCCCTCCAGTTCAAGGTCAGGATGTGGAAAAATGCAGCTAATTGGCACATCAGCTTTTATTTCATAGGCAGAAAAAAAATAAAGGATTAAAACCTCTTCTGTTGCAGGCAGGAAAAAGAGGCGTGGATTCGAGCCAAGTATGTGGAGAAGAAATTCCTGAAGAGGCTTGGCTCCGCTGAGATCCTGGTTAATGGAGAGAGGAAGTCAGAGAGGCGGTGGAGCGTGAAGAAGTGCAGAAGACACAACAGCGCCACCACTGTTCCAAAAACCCAGCGGAGATACAGACAAGAGCCTGGCAGCACCTCTCCTTCTGCTCTCTCAATAGGCAGGCTAATTATTCAGTTTTTACAAATGGCTGATTTAGTGACAGCTAGGTGATGTTCAGTTAAAATGATTACTGAACATAGAAACAAGCATCAGTCCACTCACTGTTAACGGGAAGGACATCTTTTGTCAGTGCTAGGGTTTAATCTGGTGTTTGCAGATTCTACATCCGTTTAAATCAGACCTCAAGTGTGCAAAACACAACAGCTTATCATTATTTTAGTAACAAAAACAAACTTCTAATGGCAAAACAGTGTAGAAAAAAAGAACAAAGTTTGTCACATGACTTAAAAGCCTCAGTAGGTGTTTTCTGTCTGGCTTTATTAGTCACTGACTGTTGTGAAGGAATTTTAGTACATTCTCCTCTATAAATCTTTCCTTTATATCTGTTAAATTCTACGGACATTAAAAGGAGTACTGTAGTTTCCGGACTATAAGCCGCTACCTTTTTCTCATGCTTTGAAAAATGTGGCTTTAGGCTGAATAAGGGCTGGTTATCCTCCCCGCAGCAGTGTGTCACAGTGAGCTTAACGCAGACATTTTTGATTTATGCTCAAGTTTGAAGAGTGGTCCGCGCCACGCCACAACGCCAGTGGGACAATCAGGAACTAGCTGTGGCTCTAGATTCGGCCGAGGTGGTGAAGAAGTGGGGGCAAGTTTGTGCCTCATCGGAGGGATGTGAGGGCAAAAAAGAGCAGGGATTCAGGTGGAAAAAGGGTCCCAGCATTCTCGCACACTTCGCTCTTCTAGTTGGTCCAACTTCAAGAGTTGATTTCCGCAATGGCTGTCATACAAACAAAACAAGCCGGTCTCCTGTCTGCGGCACTGTCTGTGGTCACCTACAATTTGGAAGGTGCAGCAGAGTGTCTGCGGAGGGGGCGGGGACGTCTTTGCGTTCACTGAGACACCTACGCAGACGACCTGGTTTCGAAGTATAAATCAGCCTTTATAAGAAGGTGCAGCTTTTCTGTGGATTTTTACCAACCGGTAGAGGGGGAAATCAAGGCTGATAATGAAAGAATAAGGGGCTAATGTACATTTAGCACAAGAATATGCTAGCTGCAGGCACGACGGGGAACAAGGCCGTTTCTCAATTTACAAGAACGCAAGCAGGGACTCATGTCCTCGCTAAGTATGCTCTTGAGTAGAACACAGGAAAGTATTTACTCTGGGAGAGCGGGAGCACGCAGCATAAATATGGGTCAATTTGAACAGAAGAATACTCGTGACATCACCACACTCTAAGCTCGTCTGGAGCTGCATTTTTCACCTCCTGTTATTAATAGTCTCTAGATCAGGGGTCTTCAACAAATTTCAGGCCAAGGACCCCCAAACTGATGGCAAAATGGAGCGGGGACCCCCTAATTATATATATTGTATGAAATTATGTTATATCAAACTGGTCCTATAGTCACTCTATTACAGATGGAGTAATGTAATGAACGTAATTTCTCCCTGGGATTATTAAAGTATTTCTGATTCCTGATTGATGGAACAGGTGTTGTGAATGAAACGGTGTCCAGCTTGAAAGAGCTCCTGTGTGTCGCTGAATGTGAGCATTGATGACTGAAAGACATCTTCTGCCTCCATTTATCTGTTTACTACAGTGTGTTGAATTCATGTTAATGTGGATTTAAAGACATTCAATTAGTGGAAAAATTGCAGGGGGGAATGTAAAAAAAAGTTTAACTTTCGCGACCCCCATGCAGTACCTCCCTGGACCCCTTAGGGGTTGCGGACCCCCTGTTGGAAACCTCCGCTCTAGATAATAATAATAATAAAACTGCTGCTGCCGCAGTGCATGCTGGGACAGCTGTCAATCTCGAGAACGGAGAATTCTGCTCTGATGCATGCTGGGTAAAGATGGAGGGACAAGAAAAATAGTTGTTATGTTCTCGGTCTGCTGTTCTCGTGAATTTGAACAGTACTAGGGCTGAGGATGATGACGTTTCACGAGCACATGAGAACGCACAAGTACATATATTGAGAAACGGCACAAATGTCCTGAATTCACACATATTAACATTTATTTGCTGCATTAAAGCTGGCGAACCAATGAAGAGACTGGGCTCAACTCCTGCAGAGCTAAAATAAAGAGCCAATAAAGCCCCATCTTTCAGTATTAGCTCTTACTGCCGTGAGCCAACAAGCTGACGGAAGCTAGCATTATTCTTCTTCCCTACCCCAGGCGCTGTATGTAGAGCTCCCCCTACAGGTTTGGTGGGAGACAGTTCAGTAGATATCAGCGACTTATAGCCCAGTGTGACTTATATGTGTACGATTCCAGTTTTTTTATGTAGCTGCGGGTAATAGTGATGTGCGCTCTATAGTCCGGAAATTACTGTAAGTTTGGAATTGGAATTGGTATCTTTATTTCAAACATGCAAGAGAAAAAAAAAACAATGTTTAAAAACATTGGAGAGAGAAACAACAAACACGGTACCTTTCTTTCCTTAGTTAATATACCTCTATTACATGTGCGAAAAGGAGTAGGAAGAAGTAAAACTTATGTACTCCTTTAATTCACCCCTTTAATTCTAGTATTTCTTCAATTTACAATATTTATAATTATGTTGCTATATATATATCCCTATATATATGTATATACACACCTACCTACACATATACATACATAAATATCTAAAGTTGAATTCATTGAGGGTTTTTTGAGCTGAAAGCTTGGTGTAGAGAATTTAGGAACCTAGACCACATCACTTTTATTTTGTGCTGATAAGTAAAAACCAAGAACTGAAAAAGGATGTACTTTCTTTTTGTTATCTCTGAAGCTGTGTTGTAGACAAAGAATCAATGGGCTGTAAAAAAAAAACTCTTTGCTCTCTCTCTCACAGCAGCGGCAAAATTCAGACGAGAGTCTTTGTTTTGCCCGGATGAGCTGGATTCTCTCTTCTCTTACTTTGATAATGGATCTGGTCCTCGGAGTAAGTTTTTTTGTTTAGCACTTAACTTTGTGCTAGTGTGAAAATAACATGAGATCTTGTGTAAGCAGATGTTTTAGATTGCAATAAAAAGCGACAGTTTCTAATGTGTTCATGTTGTCCTGCAGGTCTAAGCAGCGACAGCGGCCTGGGAGGCAGCACAGACGGCAGTACAGACATCCTGGCGTTTGGCTCAGTGGTGGACAGCGTCACGGAGGAGGGTGAGGCTAGTTATAAGGAGGTAGAGCAGAATGTAGAAACTTCAGGAAGATATTTAGACCTTTTTTATGAGCGACTTCTTATGGTGATCTGCAGAGTGTGAAGAATCTGAAGACTCGAGCGGTGAGACCGAGCCTGAGACGTCAGACCCGGAGGACATGAGGGAGATGGATCCTGGAACCCTGCTCTATAAAGCCTCTAAAGCTCGCAATCTGCCAGTGATGGCTGAAGCTCTAGCCCACGGCGCCGACGTTAATTTGGTCAACGACGAGGACGAAGGAAAGACGCCCCTTATACAAGCTGTTACTGGGGTGAGTTAGTCTGGGCAAAGAAAAGGCAATCTGATTTGTTTTTTTTTATGCAAAACTCCTGATACAATATTAAAATAGAGTGCAGTCTTCGAAAACTTTTTTCATCATCACTTCAAAATATAATTGCTTTGTTTTTAAATTTATTCCAGGGTTCTCTGGTTGCCTGTGAGTTCCTGCTGCAAAACGCTGCTGATGTCAACCAAAGAGATGCAAGAGGGAGGGGCCCATTGTATCACGCTACTTATCTAGGGCACACAGGGTGAGTCATAAAAAAACACTATATAATAAGAAAAAAACTTGTATATAAAATATTATATTTTTATTTATATATATATATATATATATATATATATATATATATATATATATATATATATATATATATATATATATACACACACGCTACCATTCAAAAGTTTGGGGTCACGTTGAAATGTCCTTATTTTTGAAGGAAAAACACTATACTTTTCAATAAAGATAACTTAAAACTAGTCTTAACTTTAAAGAAATACACTTTAGACATTGCTAATGTGGTAAATGACTATTCTAGCTGCAAATGTCTGGTTTTTGGTGCAATATCTACATAGGTGTATAGAGGCCCATTTCCAGCAACTATCACTCCAGTGTTCTAATGGTACAATGTGTTTGCTGATTGGCTCAGAAGGCTAATTGATGATTAGAAAACCCTTGTGCAATCATGTTCACACATCTGAAAACAGTTTAGCTCGTTAGAGAAGCTACAAAACTGACCTTCCTTTGAGCAGATTGAGTTTCTGGAGCATCACATTTGTGGTAAATAGTCATTTACCACATTAGCAATGTATAGAGTGTATTTCTTTAAAGTTATGACTAGTTTAAAGTTATCTTCATTGAAAAGTACAGTGCTTTTCCTTTAAAAATAAGAACATTTCAATGTGACCCCAAACTTTTGAACGGTAGTATATCTCTCTCTCTCTCTCTCTCTCTCTCTCTCTCTCTCTCTCTCTCTCTCTCTCTCTCTCTCTCTCTATATATATATATATATATATATATATATATATATATATAGATTATCACCGATTTTTCATAAGCCCCACTGTTCCCAACATGTTGAGGTTATTTATTTTGCCATGACTTATACTTATAAAGACACCTCAATGTATTATGTTTCTGGGCTGATACTGGACATTCATGCTGATTTTGCACAGTTTCTACCTTAGTCATTTAAATAACATAGTGCTGTCATTTTGCTCATATCTGATGTTGCTGCTATTTTCATTTACCATTACTGGAAATGTCCTTAGCTGTATTTTGGTCATTCATTCTGCAGGTGCACAGTATTTATATTGTTAAAACACTTTAAAGCACAGTATTTTATTGTTTATCTTTTAACTTTACACTGTTATGTTATTTTTACAAATTTTTCCGAGGTCCACATTTGGGTGACCATTTTTTCTATAATCTTTTTGCAGCTGTAAACACCAGAATTTCCCTTATTGTCGGACAATAAAGGGATTTTCTTTCTATTTTAGATAAGCACACACACAAACCCACACATACACATATATATATATATATATATATATATATATATATATATATATAAAGTCTCAGGTTCTAAGTACTCTACATCATGAGGCTACTTAATTGATTAGCAGGACAAGACAGTGTTACTCTTATGTGGTTTCATGAAATGGTGATGAGTAGATCAGTAAAACTTTATCCTCCTCCAGCAATGCTCTAAGAAAGCCAGCATGGGCATCGGTCCCCAATCTCTAAAGTTAAAATCATGCCTTACGGCATAACAGGGTGATCATGTTGCTCTGATATCCTTTTACATATGAAGTGCCCTAGTCTTATGAAAATGAGTAGTTCCCCTTAAATTAATTCATGGAATTCTTGAACATAAATGAATAAGGTTCAGAAGTCTATATCTATCTCTAATAGCTAAAAAAACAGACAAACAGACAGTGCTGATAGTGAGAGCAGACTCTATAAAAAAGAATTATACATACGAATAAAAGCAGAATCAATATTAAGCGGTCGCTTACACAGAGTGACAATATACATTTTGATCTTGTTTTAAATTAGGCTTTAATTGGATGTTTTTAACTCTTTTTTTGTTTGTTTGTTTCCAGACAGGTGTGTTTGTTTCTCAAAAGAGGAGCTGCGCAGAATGACTGTGATGAAGAAGGCATGGACCCTTTGAGTATAGCCGTGCAGCAAGCCAATGCAGATATTGTCACGCTGTATGTTAATGAATTAGTGAACTTCAGCTCCAGCGCTTCGGTCCAGTTTTTACGTAAACTCAGATTTTGCTTGTCCCGTCTTTGTTTTAGGCTGCGACTGGCCAGGATGAATGACGAAATGCGGGAGTCAGAGGGACCGTTTGGACAGCCAGGTCAATACCCAATCAGCAGCCCCACCGAGCAGCAGTATAAAAAATGCATACAGGAGTTTATCTGCATCCACATAGCAGAGTGCTGATCAGGTTCAGTCAGGGTGACGCAGCAGTCGCCCCTCCGATGAGAAATGTTGGAGATGTAGGGTTTCTGTTTTACCCCACACCTTGGTATCCGTAGTCTTCCTTCTTCTTTGCTGTCAGAGAGGATTTTAGATCATAAACCGCTCAGAAGTTAGCCCCTGTCTTACAATTCTACTGGAATCTACATCTAATGAAGAAGTTTAAAAAGCAAACTAAGTTGGATGACAAGTTGCAGGGAAAATTCACTAATTCTTCTGAGCAAAAAAGTTAATCAAACCAACCAATGTCGGGTTTCAATCAGCAAATCTCAACAAAAAAACTGTATGGTTTAGTTTTTCATTTGTAATTTCTTTAAATATATCCACCTTAAACCTCGTCATCCCTGCCCAACAAATCAAAATGTGTCTACAGCGAGGGGAAGTCTAAAAGCTCATCTTAGCTGTGATCAACAAACCAAGTAGACATTGTATGATGCACTTTTTTTGTTTTACAAATGCAGATTTAAGGTACTCTGATTTAATTATGTAAATTATTTTAATTATGTATGGAAACTTTCTGAGCAATGGTGCAATAACATTTTTAGTACTTTTTTGTATTGTTAAATAATATATGTAGGTTGTTTTGTTTTAAAAGGGTAGTTTTTGTTAGACAATCACTCACTCAGGCACACAGTATTATGTTTTCCTTAGAAAATCTCAATAGTCAAATTGTTTCACTTGTTTGTGAATTAGCTGAATAAGCTGTTCTAGAAGATGGGCTCTTAATAACGGAATAACAGAAAATCCATTGCATCATGTATTTGATTATAAAATGTTTGTTAAGCCGCATCATTACAACTAGGTTAGAATTAGAATTGTCTTTGTTTCTAATGATTGAGTAGATGTTGACCATTTCCTTTGCCTCTCATTTCACACATTTAGTGCCGTTAAATATTTCTGGTATTTACAATGTTTTGCCAAATCATAGTGGAGCATATGATAAAACATTTCTTCCAGAAAATGATGCTCCATCCTGCAGTTACTACTTCGATAATAATCAGTCAGGTTTAGTTTCAACCAAAGAAAAATCATACATTTTTAAACACAGTTTGCTTATTTTTAGTAGAAATGAATGTATTTTGTGTTGCTGTTTTTTCAACAAGAATAAACTGTGCAGGAGTTGTTTTGATGAAGGCTAGAATTAAGGGTTAAACACATAAACTTATTCTGTTCTAAGTAAGATTTGGACAATCACAACTGAGGGCCAAAAATTTGCAACTAAATTTTAAAATGTTAAGTTGTGAAAAGTTTAAATACTGTTATATTTTTCACTAAGAGGTGGTCTTACATTGTTTTGCAAACAGTCTTTATTATAAATTTAACATGAAAATAAAATAAGCTGTTCAAGAAGGAACTTATGCATAGCAATAACTTTATTTTATTTCTTCCCAAAGGCAAATATAGTCTTACAATTCAATTCAATTCAGTTTATTTCTATAGCGCCAATTCACAACCCATGTCCTCTCAAGGCACTTTACAGTTGACCAGATCATCCAGTCAGATTGATACAGTTTTATATCTAAGGAAAGCCAGTTGTTTGCATCAACTCACTGACTTGAATGCAATCCCTCACACTAAACATGCTTGCAGCGACAGTGGAGAGGAAAAACTCCCTTTTAACAGTAAGAAACCTCCAGGAGAACCAGGCTTAGTATGAGCGGCCATCTGCCGAGGCCAACTGGGGTTCAAGGAGACAGAAGCAGAGATAAACAAGACAAGCTCCGAGCCAACTCCCATGTCAGAGGATGAAGAGAGCACATCCAACCAGTCACAGTCAGAGAAACAGGACTACACTGGAAAAACAGGCCGATCTCCAACATCTATAAACAAGGGTGTTGATGGCAGCAGCACAGCTGATATTTCTCTCCACAAAGTCCCCACACAACAGACACTCACAAAAACACTCCAATTTTACAAAATTTGTATTTGTCCAAGCAGCACATTTATCTGGAATGATTTAAACACCTCAGATACCAGTTAATCTCATCCATTAGGCAAGTAAACATCCTCCCTGATGTGCAGAGGAGGTTAAGAGTTTATACCGATTTAGGGGATGTTGCCCTTCCATGGACTCTATTTCTAAAAACCTGAATAAAAAAATCTGCCATGCTAAGAAAAAACACACCAAAAACAATACCCTATCCAAAAAAATTAATTGAATAAAAGAAAATAAATTATTCTTAAAAATATATATATTTTATTATCTTAAAAATATAAATAATTTTCCAGCTACTGATCTAATAAAGTATGTTACCATTGATCATTTGCCCTCAAAGCATTTTCCAACTTTTTTACTTGGTACTTATTGCAGCTAATATGTGATACGGTAAAATGGGGATATGGTGTTTATTATTTAACATATTAAAGCAATAAAATGTAAGTTTTTTTTTTCAAATATTTGATTGATCATCTTAGAAATATTTATCTTATATTATTATGATCATCTGATTTATAGGTGGACCAAAATATAAAGGGATTTTTTACCACCTGTTTTGCTAACACTTTTCGATGCTTTAGCACAAATTTTAGCATAAGTTAAAAAAAAACTGGAAAAACTGCCTGAAAATATTAAATTGACTTCACTGCTTACAAAATATAGTAAATACTTCCCACTAAAATTTTTTTTTTTTTTTTTTTTTTCTATTATGTTTTTAATAAGCTGTCACAACAGGAAAGTTAGCTAAATGAAGTTAGCATAGCCAAGCTAATGTTTCAAAGCTTCCAGGTGTGCTATGTATCTAACTTTAACTTTTGAAAAAATGTTTTTCCAATGAGGTTGTTCATTGACATTAGAAAAAATTAGATTTTTTGAGTTTATTTACCTTTTTTTTTTAGTTTAGAAAGTTTTCTATTAGTCAAACTACAAAGCATTGGAATCCAGCTTTTTTATTTGACTTCAGCAACATTTCTTATAACCTTCTGCTCAGAGAGGAGAATATAGTTTCCTAAAGCACATTCTTATTTTTTGCACAGTCTCTAGTTCATTTCTGCCAAGCATGACTATTTTTGCAGGGATGAGAAGCGCAGCTCCCTCATTTTCTCTTCTATCGTTATAAAAAAAACACCAAAAGCACTTTTTTAATGCAGCCTTTTCTTATTTTGTGCAGTATTTCACAACCAAATTCATAGTCTTCATATGAAGATGTGTCTGACTAACAATCATTTCCATTAAGCCAATGAACGATTATGTTTTGTACAGTGTGGTTTGTGTGTACAGTGACTGTAGTGTATACTAAATCCTATTAACTTGTCTGTTATTTGACATTCCTTTTTCTAACTTCCTTTTATTTTCTCTCTATTATCTGTAAAACTTTTGAATACTGCAAGAAATCTTTCTCTGAATATACTGTACTTGTGCTTATTAACACTCTATGTATTTCTTCTGTCTTCCTCTTTATAATGATACTGATAATAAACGTCTGACTAAACTCTAACCTCCTTCTCTACTTTGTGCTGTTTCTACACTTTTATGCTTTATTTTACTTTATTTTTCAAAAAATGGAGGAGCTATCTTCTTTGAAACTGTAAATAAATAACATTAAACTTATCTATCAAAGCTTCCCTCCTAAGAAAGCAGCCTCACTAAAGTGCTCATGATCCTTGTACTTATCCACAGCTTTCAGTCTTAAAATTACAAAAATAATCTCTTATATTCTTCTCTGAGTGATTCCCTGCTGGCCCATCTTGCTAGCTTTCATGGTGCGTTTACAGTTATGCCATATTCTTACTATTTTATATAATGGGTTGATATAAAACTCTGAGATGGTTAAAAATTAGATATTATTTAAATAAACCTATCATGGTTTAACTGTTCCCAACCTTAAGCCCTGAGCTTCTTCACTCTCTTCCTTATGTTTTGTTTTGCAATATTCTTTATCAACCCTCTGGGTTCTTTACTGACTATTCAATTTTAAAATACTTTATTAATCCCAAAGTTACATTAAATAAAATGAATCAAGATAATTAAACATATTTTTGATGAAATAAATAACACTCAGCTTGATATTATGTACCACTGGAGGGGCTCCTGAATTAATTTGGATATTATTTAGTAAAATCAGAATGACAGTTGCTACTATATAAAACTGCAGGACTCACTTTTCAGATTTTTCTTTGTAAATATAACTTAAGAATGACGTATTCGGCTTCCGGGAAGATGGCGGAGGGAGAGGTCGCATAGTTGGATAGCTCTCCGAGGTCGGTTAAAAACCCACAATAAGAATATTACTCGATAGGTAAAACTAAGGTATGAGTGGGAGCAAGAAAAGAAGTCGGAAAAGCAATAAAAAACAAGACAAAAGCGAAGAGTTGCCTGCAACGGGTAAAAGACCCACACGCGAAGCTAACGAACACGAGGAAGACAAAGAGGAGATAATGGAGGAAAGCGATAGCACGGTGACGCTGCAAAACGGGTTCGCCACCATCAGAACTGATATCAAAAACTTGAAACGAGCTGTGTCGGGAGCTGGCTGAGTTCAAGGATGAACTGAAGAAAGAGATGAAGGAAGAAATGGTGAGATTCCGACAAGAAATAGAACGCAGGTGGTCTGAGAATGACCGGGATATCCAGGCACAGCGAGCGGACCTCAACGAGGCTCAGGCACGGATAGAGGAGGTGGAAGAGTGGAAGACGGATGCTAACGAGGTGTTAATGAAAATGGTGGAACAAACACAAAGAATGCAGGAAAAATTAACCGACCTCGAGGGGAGATCGAGGAGAAAGAGGTAGAGGGGAAATCTACTGCCACATTTTTGGAGCAACTATTCCAAAAGGAACTCGAACTACCGGAGGGGACTAATCTCCAGATTCAACGAGCTCACCGAACACCCGCATCCAAGCCGAATGCAAACGCAACACCGAGGTCAGTCGTGGTTAAT